CTGTGACTTCAAGGGCTAAAAGCAAACAAACAAACACACACCCAAAAGGAGTGTCAAAGAAACAAAAGCAAAAAAAAAAAAAAAAAAAAAAAAGTTTTCAAGGTTTGCATATATCTGTCTATTTTTGTGCTCTTTATGTAATGATTCTGGACCTTCACATCCTTTACCCTGGATCTGGGTTTTAGATACCCAGGACAAGTCGGGTGCCTGTCTCCCACTAGCTGATGTAGTAGATGAATTGGATGATTCAGCTTCACTAATTTTGAACCAACTTCTTCTGTCCAGAGGGAAAACACAAATTTAAGCAGAGCTGTTTCTGATGTCCCAGTTGCATGGAATTTGTGCCCAGAGATCCTGAATTCTGGCTGCTGAATACTTGTGTGGGTCAGAAAGCTGGAAGGTAGCTTTGGGCTGGAAGGCAGTGGGATGATGCATCAGCAGTCCCACAAACATATACAAACCAATATTTTCAGGTCAGGCTTACTCATCTTTACCCAGGGTGACCTGAAAGAGCCATCCAGCAGTGCTGTGAATCAAATCCCTAGCAGCTGTGGTGGATTGATTTGTTTATTTCTAAATCACAGTTATTGAATGCAACAGTGCACACTGATCCTTCCACTCTCATTGGCTGCTTCTTGTCAGCCCAGCCATCCCCACAGTTACCTACCAAGTATTTCCTGCTGCGGTTCAGTCACTTAATTCTCATTCTAGTCTTCCCAAACAGCAGGAATAACTGTTTCCTGTTCTCTTTATACTTTTGCTTTCACCAGTGAATGGCTCTTCCTTTCATCTTTCCTTCCATGAGGGTTTTCTTTGTGCTACATCAGAGCAAGTGGTTGATCAACCTGTAAGATCAGCTGGGACTCGCCCAACTTCACCTTTACATTCTTTCAATCAGACAAGAATTAAGCAAATTTACATATACATAGCAATAATGAAAGACAAGATGAATATTCTCAACCCAGACTAGATTCTGGAAGGTTAGGGGGGTGGATAGTCAAGGACAAGATGAAGAAAAGAGCCCACATTGGCTTTCTTCCTTCTTCCATAACTTAACTACACCCAGATACCCTGACACATGGTGTGTATGCTCCAGAGGTGCCATGTCAGTGAGACAGGCATTCCAGGAGCCTGCAGGGATAAAGGCTACATCAGCTGTGTTCCTGGGTGTGGTGAGAGGGAAACAGCCACTCTGCTATTTGTACTACAAGAATTTTAAAGGGTAAAGTAGCCACTGTTTCTGTAGGTATTCTAAATGTCTGTTCTTTCCAGATAGAAAGCCTCACAGTGCTGTTCTGATGCATTTCCACATTTAACTGAATGGTAGCTCACATCCCTTATAGCCATGATCTATCCCATATGTATAGTTCCATCTTTAAGATGTGCTTTTGAAACAATAATTACAGTAATTCAATTTGCCCCTCAACATAATTTTCATCCCACAGGACTAACAGGGCATGATATGCAGCAGCAGAAATTTTACCTTCTTACCTTTTCAGAAAGAATCCTTCTGGTGTTCTTGGATATTAAACACCAGAAATATCATGCCTAGGTCATGTGAGCCTTTAGATAGTTGTCAGATTTCAGGTACATAACAGGTAAGCCTGCTAGCATGAAGAGTAAGTACCAAAAGAAACTAATATAGATGAAGCAAATTTGGATTGAGACCATAACAAATGAAGCCTTACATGACTTAGAATATTCTTTTACTTTATATTAAAAGTCTGTACTCCAGTTCACTGGCAATATCCAATGTTAGGGATTCTGCTTGCATACCTCAGTGAACCTGGAACCATCAAGCTCTGAGATGATATCCCAAATCCATCATCAGTGAAGCAACGCAGCCCAAAGCTGCTGATGAGGTGGAGTCTGTCTGTTCTCAGCTTTGTGGGGACTTTCCAGGTGCTTCTCATCTACAATGCACACAAGGTTTATGGCAGAAATAAGCAGTAAAGCAGATTTAATCAGGTTATGGCTGGGATCAAAGGCCTGAGATCACGATTTAGAACAAATGACCTGAATAAATAGCTGCAGAAGAGGAATAGATTTGATGGGATAATTTTCAGTATTCAGTTAAGAAAAAAAAAGGATTTTTTTGGTACAAAATAAATGCAAACTTTTACTTTCCAAAGATGAGAATCCATCTATAAAAATCTGAAAAGATAGAGGGATGTTATTGTTCTGCCTTGTTTTCTGAGACACTGACCCAGCTATTGCATTCTCCTGTTCCACACAGTGGTGTTGGTCACCCTTCATGCACCCAGTGACAACCACCGCTGCTGCTGGCCATCCACCTCTGTAGGAAGCAGGCTGTTAGTTTTGTGCCTTTCTGGGCATGGTTCAGAAAGACAGGCTTCCCTGTTCTCCTTTGCTAGCATGCAGAGGAGAGGAACTTTCGGCCCGCTCTGCATTTCATGATTTATTTTGTATCTACAAGTTTAGCTGTTGTGCTTCCTAAAAGAAAATGTTTTCAAGCATTTTTTTCTGAGAACCACAGTAGAAATTTTGTCTTTAGGCTGAGGTTAAGAAAAAAGTAGGATAAGGTAGTAGAAGTATTTTTGCTGTTTCCTAGCTGTGCACTTTTGGGAACAATTGCAGTTGGGAATTACTTCCATCCATAAAGATAATGGATGTAGAAGTGGATCAGGAACTCTCATGCTTTGGGCAATTGGGAGAAGGAGAAAATAAATCTACTTTCAACAGTGCAGTGGAATGATTACTTATGCATTATGATTACTTACGCATTTCTATGTCTTAATTTTTCATTTCCCCTGAAAAGTAGTAAGCAAATGCCTGTACTGACACAGTCAACAAAAAAAAATTAAAATAATTCCAGAGAGATACATGGCTGAAGCATTTTCACTGAGTTGCCTTTCCGTGAAAGGCACCAGAATCAAAATATACCACAAAGATATGCTTATTTATTAAGGAACCTGACTGGATTTTCACTTTACTCACCATAGAAATGAAAAGCCCCCACACCAATGTAAGGACTTGCATTTCCGAGCCCTTCCATGCATCCCATTAAAGTGGTTGAGAAGGAACACTGAGACTCAGAAAACTGTCTGAACCCAGCTTTGTAACGCTGTGGCCAGGGCTCGGAACTCACACTGTTGTTTGCTGCCCTGTGACTTGGGAGTTTTGCTGTTTGTTTAACTGAACTTCTAAAGGACCCAGAGCAGATCTGTGACATTTTCTCTCGCACAGCTCGTTTTGTCAGCTCTGTGGGTACCACTACCATCTACTGGCCAAACCGAGACTGGCTGCGCTTCCAAGCACCACGATCCATCTTAAATGATTCCGTCTCAGAACACAAGGACGCCTGTGGGTTTGTTCCTGATGGTTACTCACACATCTGCACCAGGGCTGCACCAAACTGTACGATATCACTGCTGGCCTGCAGAGGTTTAAAACCAACATTCCACCAACTGCCAAAGGAAATATTATAGCTCAAGTAGAGGTCTCCATTTTTTTGTGGATTTTTTGATGGTTTTTTTGGTGTGGTTTTTTTTTTTTTTTTTTTTTTTAGCTGAGGATTTAGAGCCCAGTTGCTGAATGTGTGCAATTTAGCTTTTAACCAAGCAAATGCCCTGGAGGAAGTGTGTGCCGTGGTTTTCATTACAGTGGGTTTATTATTACAAGAGAGTGAGGATGCCTGTTACTACACTGAGGGAGGTAACATGATGAAAGAAAAACGCAGGGGGTTAAATTAAATGGGAATTTGTGCAATGGTAACCAGTGCTGGTCAAGTGTCAACAGAGCATGCAAACCCACTATTTTTTCCCTATGGTCCCTCTGGACTGTACAGCACAAAACAGCACAAATTTCAAACAGTCCGTGGCTCCTTGGTCATGCCCCAGCTACAAAAGTGTGTGTGTGCAAAGGGAGCAGAGGCAGGAGAGCGGGAGGGAGGGGGATCCCTGCACAAGGAAGGGCAGTGCCCTGGAGAGGCACAGCCAGAAGAAAGGACTTTGCTGAGGAGTCATGCTGCCCACTGAAAACCTTGTGCCACAACCACCCTCTGCTGTGTCCTTCCATGCTGGGCATCACCAGCATACAAATGTTCCCATCACAGAATTGTGTCCACCTGGGGTAGGTGCACTGAACATGTCTGTTCCTCAGAGACATGCTGCAAGAACTGCTAAAGGGACCAGGAGGTAAATTTTGTCCTGGAATGGCATCTGCAAAGACAAGCAGGTGGAGATTTGACAAATCTCCAATATCTGCCCAATATCTGGCAGATAAGTTTGACTTGAATCTACCTGTCTCTGGTGGGGATACCTTTCCATTGCCCAAGAAAGATGTGGCATGAAAAGATGTAACACTTCTCTTTGGGTATGAACACTGAAAGAAGCTAACATGGCAAAAAACCCACAACGTTCACTGGCCTATTCAGGCCCTGTTGAACCCAGTCCTTGGACACACAAACCATGGTGGTGCTATCCATGGAAGCTGCTGTGTGGAAGTCCACATATCTCTACCTCATTTGTGGAGGATACAAATAGGCTCCCACATAGCACACTCTCCACAATTCTGCAGGAAATTTCCTCCAGTCCACCACTCATCACTGGTGGCCTCAGCTCACTACTGCAGGGAACAGGCAGTAGACTGGGAGAATATCTGTAAATTAATGCCATGATTCCATCTGCCATCCTTTCTGTTGGTGCTCTGGATCCCACCTCCTTCCAGCACCTCTTGCACACATATTCTGGGATATCCTCATCCATGCCCTGGGAAACACTCAGACCACCCTGTGTGTGGAGATCATGGGCAGTGCCCAGGTCTAGTCCAGTCCCACAGCCTGAAAGGAGACTGGAGCCAGCTGTGCTCACACAGGATGAGCCAGGGCAAAGCCTGGGCACTGCTCTTATGAGACACTAAAGCCTCTCTTCTTGGTAAAGCTGGGAAAGATTCACAACAAATTACAGCAGACAACTGTTAGTCACATTTTAATTTTCCAGTTGAAATAATACAGTGAATCTCACTGCCAATGTCATCAAGGTCAGCAACAAAAACACAGTCACCACATACTCTGATCAGGGACTATATAGGAGACCTCTGATTAAGGGAAAACAATTGAAAGCCATTGATAACAAAACCCAGAAAGAAGACTAGAAAACAATCATTGATTACATTCTTGAGTGAATAATATCTGCAGTTTTAAAAAATTAGAATGATGAAAGATGTAAAAATAAATACCTAAGGGTCTGTTCCTTCAAAACCATTTCAAAGTAGGAAGAAAACATTGCTTGAACTTTTTTTTCTTTAATACAAGCTCATCTATATCAGCATTAATCAACAATCACTATTTTGAGGTTAGGTTTATTGATTATGGCATTACCCTTCAGATATATTTTAAGGAATAAAACATACTTCAAGGAAAATTGATAAAACACCTATGTCAAGTTTTGTGAAAAAATACAACTTCATTAACCACACCAAAATCTGACCAGAGTCTGTATAACTATCACCAGCACTGTAGCCCAATAAAATGTCCTCAGAGATGACACAGCTTAGTCCTGCAAACAAAAACCACCCTGCAAGCCACTCTGCTTGCTGTACTGTAAGCAGGCAGCATTTACACACTTCTCAGTGAATGTGATGAAAGGGGTTTATTGGTTTAAGTTCCTCTGGCTTTTGTCTGAATAGGTGAAATAGTCATTGGGAAAGAAGAGGTCATAAGCTTTCTTTTCTTTTCTTTTGGCGGTAAAAAGCTATGACAATTAATACATATAAACAACAGATTATCTGGCAATTGCACTCAAAAGTTGCAGTCCACGAACTCTAACAATGGATTGCAAATAAAAACAGTCTGATAGATAAATCTAGAGGATTAAACCAAAACTTAAAAAATATTACTGATGACTAATGTATGGGGTCAAACTGCTAGACAGAATGTACACAGAAAAGCTATTTATATTTTATATGATAGAAAAATTTCAGATTAAGAACTTGTGATAGCTACAACCTTAGAAGTCATCAAAAAGAGTAAACCAGTTCTGTAAACCAGCACAGAAATATTCTATGTATGAAATAATTTTTAAAAATAGCCCTACACACAATTATGGCATGAACAGGCAATTTTTGGCCATGTGAAATCTAGGTTAAAGGAGGTCATACATTCCTGTGCATGTGCACAATTATTGTGTAAAAACATTTCATTTGGCCTTAGCTGCTTGCTTAAGTCTGAAGAACATACCTCCTTCTCAGGACTCTTGCAAAACTTTTAGAATGAGTCACCTTAAAACAAGGAAACTGAGAAATAGAATTACAAATGCAGCCCTTTGCAGCCGCTTTTAGAGATGGCGGAAACGACGCTAAATCCATTGTGAAGTAACCATCACTAAGTGCTTGTTTTTCCACACTGCAGTAAAAAAAAAATAAATTAAAAAGCTCCCAGGTGTTTTCAGAGAGGTGTGTGGAGGACTTGGTTGGATTGGTGGGAATCCCAGGGCAAGTAAACATTTCTGTCCTGGGCTGCTGCAACTGAGACAGCATAGAGACCTGAGCTGGCTAATTCACAACCATCAGCAGAGCAAGGGGTCAGCAAAATTCACCTTCGTCCTTAGCACCTTGGTATGAACACTGAAAGGGAAAGTGCCTGCTGCATGGGGAGAGAGGAGTAGCATCCTTAGGGAACAGCAATGTGGCTCCCCCACATGTCATCCTCAGCTTTGGAGAGCAGGCTCTCAGCAGAGCGTCCATGAATACTGCTCACAGGAACACTGCAGCTGAACAGCAAGGCCATTTGTTCCATACCTTGAGAAAGATTTATAACAGGGATAACAGGGTTTTTTGGTTTTTTTCAAACAGATATTGCCCAAAAATATTATTAATGAAGGCTGGTGGGATTCCATGTCTGAAATAATCTAGGTGAGAGATGACATAAGTAAATCTTTAATAGGACGCTGGATGCATCTAAAATGAATGTAATGCTTTCAGGATGACAAAGCCCATATGCCATTAAATCTCTAGACTAATTTATTTCATAACATGGACTAGGCATCACAGGCCAAACTACCAAAACTCTGGCAGTCCCATGTCAAGAGTGACTTCATCTCCCTGCAAGCTTGGAAATCAATGTGGCAAGAATCTATGGTCTGAAAAATAACTGTTCATTTCACCAGGAAAAAAAAATGGTCTTCTCCATAATCCTTGGAATATATTTCAGAGTTCCTAAATTCAAGGCCAAATTTCAATGCCAGCTCATAAGCAGGTTCTGCAAAGTATAAAAACAAAACACACAGGCCCAAACATTCCCAAAGGAAAAAGTTGCATGAAAATGTCCACTGCTCTGGGACCTCAAACACGTCTGCTCCAAGTGAGTGGCTGGAGGTTTATGGTCTGTGAGTATTTTCAATTCCTGGCTTGTCCCAGAGAAGAAAATTTCTCCATGGCTCTACCTTGCATCCTCACCTCATCCTGCCACAAAGCAAAATCTCTCCAGGATAAGGGCTCCTCCAGCATTGATACTGATGGCCCCTCAGGATATGGGCACTCCGAGGGACTCGGAGTGAGAAAACCACTGTAGGTTGTGAAGTTTCACACAGAAGAAAAGACCACGTGCTACTTCTGATCAATTAATTGTTCTCACTTCTCTCAAAGTCAGAAATGAGGATGCTTTCTTCCAAAGCAGGACTATCAGCATTGATCTGTGGCAAATAGGCATCTCTGACCCACAGTATCCTGCGGAAGAGTTGGTTATTCTCTTTGTGCAGGCACCACAGGAAAAGGGAAATGGCAGCCAACATCACCAATGTCACAAGAACAGCCAGAGCTACAAGCCCACTGTATGATGCTGAAAGGGAAGAACAGAAATTGTTATTAAGCAAATATAGCTACAATTATAAGTAATTTGAAATATAAACATATAGCTCTTTTAAGGAAAACATTACTATTCCTTATATGTCACATCAAATTTCAAATTACAGGTTTAACAGTGAAAAAAATATTGTCTCACAAAATATCAGCTCAAAATGTGTATTATTCCTTATTAAAAAAAAAGTACAGAGTTTACCTTTTTCAGAGGATTCTGTTGTACCAATATCTGAAATAAAATCCAGAACAGTCACAAAATGACCCACAAAGGTGATTATGTATATTCACTTTAAAATTAATACTGAGAAGACAATCTACCTAAAACCAACAAGAATAAGCTGTTCTTTGTTTAATTTCACTCATGTCAATATTATTCCAACTGGCCAAGTTAAACATAATCTAGTATGCTATTTAAAATCCCTTTAATTTGGTGCAATATATTAATTGGCATTTGTGCAAGGATGAGCAGCAGTATGTATCTACTTTTTAAAGTACAAATTCATGAACAGAACCCTGCACAGATCAGCCTGGTTAGTGGTTCCAGCAGTGACTGAGGCATTTTGTGTGAGTTCTGGAAACACTTGAGCTCTCTCACAGACCATTCCTACTGCTGTGGTGCCTGCACAGCTCTCCTAGGCTGGACCTGCCCTCCCTGTGGGGGCTGTGGAGGTCACCCTGATGTCACAGGAAGGCTCTTGCAGCTCCACAGGCAGCGGCTGCCTGGGCTCCCCAAACAGAGGTCACCCCAGCTGCCCGGGGCTTTTAGAGGTATTTTTTTCCCCAATGCCAAGGGACAGAATTAATGAAATGAAAATTGACATGAATTAAGCAAGCAACAAGGAACAAGTAAAACAATGGTTATAAGTACAGAACTGCCTTATTTTATGGAAGCACATACCTGCATCCATTTTACATACAAAACCCTTTTTTTCTATGCATGGAGATAATTGCCAGGCTCCATCTGTGGTCCTCAAGCTGATGCAGAAATTCCCTTTGAGATTATCAAATTCAGGCTCTCTGATGCCCCAGTTAGAATAATTTAAAGGAGAACCATCAAACCAGGAGACTGTCTCATCTGTGGGCAAAAGTAGAAAATTATTACAAAATAGAATATTATTTTGAGAAATATTTCTGTTTCAGTCAGATTTACCATCACATGAAAAACACAGTATTACAGAATACCAGGATTTTGTCTCTTTGGCCATTGTATTTCTTTTCTTGAAGGATTTATAAACATCCTATGTAGTTAACACAGAAGACAGTCTAGTGTATCTTTAAGAAGCAAAGGAAGGCATTTACATGCATGTATGCATATTAAGTATTCAGAATACTGGTAACCATTTCAGAAAGCCTCACTGTTTTTACTACATCATAAACAGGCACAAATGAGTGAAAAAAAGTCTCAAAACACCAAGGTGTTGTGAAAAATGGTTATTAAAAATGGGTTTTGGAAAATAACTAAAACCCAAACCAGATTCTTACATGCAGTTCTATTCTTCCCCAAACTTACTGTCTGTAACAAGCAGAATGTTCAACCAAACCATTTGTACAGAATAACCAAAACTGTGTAATTCTTCCAAAATGAAGGCATTTTCATCTTCATCTTGAATAGTCAGAAGATTTGATCCTTCAAATTAAACACAGAACAAATTTTCAAGCAATCCATGCCATTAAAATTAAACATTGTATTTCAAAAAGTTAACATTATGAATCTTAATTTCAGAGCTTGAAAATTCTGTTTATACATTATAAGTTCCTAAATTTGTAATAATTGTGAAAATGCTCAAGCAGATACAAAACTTTTCTCACATGACTTCAAAACAAATTTGAAGGTAAAAATGTTCATGTTATGTTTTCTTGTAGAAACCACTATTTTCACATGGAAAGGAACATTTTTTTGATGCGTGCTGCCTCCAATTTCATAGTTGGCTTATGAGTTCCACTATCGTTATCTTGAAACAGAGAAAACATATGCCATGATTTCAGTCATTTCAGAAAATAAATATTGATTTAAGATATCACAATGACATTTGGTAGCTACAAAATAATCACTTACCTTGATTTTTGCAGACCTCATATGCTGTATCAAAACTCATGCCCTGAAGAACTGTGGAAAAGCTGTAGCAACTGTTTTTGAATTTGATCCAGGGTACAGTTTTTTCTGAACATAAGCCTTTGTAGGCATTGAGTTTCTTTTCTGTGATAGAAGTAACAGCACAGCTTTATTGGCACAACAAAATACACATTAATATAACATTCCACACACTGTTTTGGAGTAATGCTAATAGCATGTTATTGTGTTATGCCTCTATTTTTTCAAAGCGAAAATCTAGCGGTTGCATATATTTGTATTAAATGAGAACAGCTGGTTTTACTTCTGATCAAAAACCTTGCTGGATCACAACAGCAGGATCAGGACAATAACTGATAGTGATGTGCATGAGCTAAGCAGGGGCCCAAGTGACCAACACCACTGAATGGGAACGACTGGAAGAACTGGATGCTGCCACAAGACCCTGCAGTCTGGTACCGAATGGAGCTCCAGACCTGAATTCTGGATTTAACTGAAGCCCAGGTGACTGACGGAGCATTGCAGGAAACACAACATGTTTTAGGATACAGAAAAATATTCTTACCTTTACTAAAAAAAATTGCACAATCTTTGATGTGCTCATCAGCAAAGTTATGATAAATTTTTCACCTTGCTCTAAATGCTTCCCTTCTCCCACCCCACAGTTAATTTCAGCCATCTGGATTTATTTCCATTCAAGCTAGGTCATTAGCAATCCTCATTTTTCAGAGATAATATAGTGTTCACTGAAGAGACAGAGTAGGTTATTTTCATGTTTCTTTTCTATTATGAAAGTTCTATTTCCATTCTCTTACAGATCAGACCTGATGGCCAATATTTTATAGGAAAAAAATGGTTCTTCACAAATAGGAAATACAGAGAAATACACTTCAATTTTAAGTAATATTCAGCCTTGCTTAACCTCTAACCAATTAACCTCCTTTCACATATTTCCACTGTGAGTACACAGACTTGCAGATTCAAAGATTTAATATAAACCTTGACTGACTTACCAGGTGGCACATGGCAAACTGCTCCTTGCAGAGGTTGTTCACAATCTGCGCTTTTCCAGTGCCCTGCAGTATCAATGTAAACACAGCTGCCAAGGGCCTGGGACTCATCATCTTCCCAGAAGGTGAACAAAGACCTGGTCCCATCTGACCATTCAAAGTTAAGCCCGTTCTGCCAAAACAAATTTCAGGTTATTTTTCTAATATAATTCAGCATCCCACAAGTTAATCTTCTTTTGGTGGCATGCTCACCAGAATTACACAATGTCTTAATTTTCTAAAGGCCCAGCAAGGATCAAAAAAAGGCAGAGTCAAGGATCCTCCTAACTCCCTTTTGGGAGCCGACGAACCACATCTAATTTCTGCTTTCAGCAAGCAGTTATTTGGGCCATTGGGCTACTATGATGAAACAATGAAATTTCAATGTCAACATTTCAAGAGATTTTTTTTTCCCACATTTTTAAAAGTTATCTGTGGCTTTTAGTTTTCAGTAGTCTTTATACCAAACTGGCTGTCACTGGATGTACACATTATATTAAAAGGAAAAAAAAAAAAAAAAAGAAAGTTTAAGGCTCATATCTTCCAGAGTTTCATCTCTAGATGCAAACTTTCTGTGACTTCAAATCAAGCTCACTAGCTTGCTACTGGAAAAATCTCCTTTGCAGCATCACACTGACAGCCGGGAGCCTCCTACGTACGTCGGAAGTGAAGAGGCCGATCCAGTGGCTGTAGCCCAGGCGGTTGATGATGATGGTGAGGAAGGCCTGGTGGTACTGGTCTGTAATGCTCACCAGCTCTGCACTGTTTGCCATGCAGGCTTGTAATGCAGAAGACCATGTAAAATTCCCACTTATTAGTTTGTACACTCTGTTTCCATACTCTAGAGTATCTGGCACAGGATACATATCGGATGCATTGATAAGATGTCTGGATGTGTCTGTTACAAACAGGAAAGAAAAAGAACTTATTTTGAAAACTGACAACTTCATCACAGATGAGCAGCTTCTAAAAAAATCTGAACTATCGTTACAAACAAACTAAAAAAATGAAAACTCCTTGGTTTTAGGAAGGCACTGTGAAATTTAAAAAAGAGAGCTCTGTTCAAATCCACTACTGCTTTCTTTCATTTTAGTCTCCTTCAGAAGATAATTCAAAAAAGGGGAAATGGAATGCAGCAGGATGGCAGAAGCAAAGCACCAGCTCATCTTTCTAGGAACTGACACATCTGTTTGGACACTTGAGCAAATTTAGCAGTTCACTACTGCCAGCAAGAGGCTCTCTCACTACTCCCTTCCTCGCTTCCCTGCTCTTCCTGCTGCAAATTCCTTAGTCTGGCGTTCGCCTGACCCTGCACAAAGCTGACACAGCCTGTAAAAAGCTGCAGAAAATGACAGTAATTAGACAAAAATAAATATATAAAGCAGGAAGTGAGAAACATATATGTAAGTTTTCTGCTGAATTAGCAAACTGAACTGCCTGATAGTTTGGCATAGTGCCATGGGTGTCCCACTGGGAGGCAGGATGGTCCAGGAGCACTCTGCTGTGCATGGGGCAGCGCTGAGCTGCATTACAGCAAGGTACATGGGCCACTTTCAGATCCACTGCCCTGCTGGGAAAATCTTCAATTGTAACAAATAGCATTTGAACCTTGTGAGTTCCCTTAGCTTTATCTGACAGTGCTTAGTGGGCAAGTGGCCATCTGATATACAAAGGTATATCTTGACCAGCCCACATCACTGGGATTCATTCCATGAAAATAAAATTTTTGGAGGCCTATGACCAAAAAAGGGTAATTAGAGGAATGGGATGTTCCCCAAATGGCCACCAGAGACTCTCAAAAGACCCCATCTCGAATGCAATGTAATATAAGCTCCAAGAAGTGATTTAAATATGCAAAAGAATTCACAGAACGTTTAGCATATATGTATGAGTTTGGGGAAATGTAATGAATATGTATCAGTTTCACAGATTTCAACTAGTCTGTTGGCTGGCTGCAGGGCATGGAATAGGAGGAGATCTTCCCTGCATGCCTGGCTCCAAAATAAAATAGTGCAGCTTTCTAACACTGAAATTACAGTGTTGGAGAGTTTTATTCCTGACTTTCAGTGACACAGCTGAGAAACGTGGGTAGGATCCTGGGCACCCACTGCAGCCCAAACCCTCGCCAGAATCCCCGCCACCATAAGGCAGCTGTTTTCCTTCCTGCCTTTCCACCCCTCCTCCATCTGTCTCAAGCAGCAGTAAGGGGTTGAAATACAAATGTTTGGGATGTAACTGAAACAAACCAGCAGGAAAGCACACATTTATTTTTTCTGCACCATGTACAGGATCACTCCAGCCCTTTCCGCAACTGTAGTTTCCAATAAATGAAGTAAAATCCAGCTATGAGTGACACGTAAGCACTGCCCAAAGCTGGCACTTGTTCTGCTTCCCAGCTGGCCATGCCTCCCCTCCCAGGCAGCAGCAGCAGAGTGTTGTCTCTGCATTTTAGGGTTAAATGTAGGGGTGATCATACAATATAGAGCTGAGCCATACAAAACCACCCTTGCAGCAGAGGCAGCTGCCAAGGCGATTCCCTACAGGTTCAGATGCCAGCCTCCCTTCACCTCAGGGTCACCAACGCGCTGCTGCCCTGTTTGGGTGCTGTGTCCTGCCAGTGTCCTGCTGGAAGAGGGGCTGCCCTGGCAGGGGCTTCAGAGCTGCCCACGGCCCCCAGCCCAGAGGCAGCACCAGAACGTGGCTTGAGGAAACACAAGGAACCGTGTTCCTGCCCAACACAAGGAACCGTGTTCCTCCCCAACACAAGGAACCGTGTTCCTCCCCAACACAAGGAACCGTGTTCCTGCCAAGCACAACAAACCGTGTTCCTCCCAAGCACAAGGAACCGTGTTCCTCCCCAACACAACGAGCCGTGTTCCTCCCCAACACAACGAGCCGTGTTCCTCCCCAACACAACGAGCCGTGTTCCTCCCCAACACAACGAGCCGTGTTCCTCCCCAACACAACGAGCAGTGTTCCTCCCAAACACTTCATGCTTCTGGCACTGGAACTTTATGGTGCCAGAATTAGAGAAGTGTGGTACTAGAAAACAGAAGCCAAGCTCTATTCAATAAGCCAGTTGGGTCCACACTGTTCAGAAAAATATATTTGCTAGAGTCTCTTCTGATCGCACATTGCAAGTTACAACCCCCCACCCTACATCACATTTTCATCAAAATCACCCTCAGTTTAGCCTTTTGTGGTTACTCTGTAGCCATGAGAGAAAATATGAAATTTCATCTCTATTTCTAATTCAAAGGCACTACAGAATGCTCAAAGTTAGGAGAAAAAGTTAATAACAGAATGTTTTTTAGCAATTACTTCTACATCCCAGCTACTGATTTATTAAATAGTGTAGAGCTAGTCTGTCTAAACAGCAAACTTAGAAATCTTTTATGTTCCTTGTTTTAGAGATTTATAAAAAGCTGCTTCTAGATAAAAACAAAGTAAGACAAATTCCATATAGTAAAAAAAGAGAACAGAAGCAAAGCAAGACAAAACCTTACCCTGAGTCTTTTGGCAGACAAACCCATAATTTTTCTGACAGTTTTCTAAGTACCATTTTCCCGTAAAATAAAAATTAGGGTTATTTGATACCAATGTACACAGTGGAAGTTGATCTTGAATGTTAAAATGCTGTCTCTGCAACCAACACAGAACCTTATATTAATTTAAATATACACCGTGTAAAACAATATATAATTATTAAATTAAATTTAAAAGAATAATTATCTCAAAGTCTCTATAACAAACATTTAGGAAGAACAATGAACAGTCCCACAAATGCAATTTGAAACAATAAAAAAACCCTCATAATTAAAAAGTCACAAGCTTTCAGTGAACAAACCAAAATGCTAACCCCAACTGGGACCAACATGTTGTAAAACAATGTATTAAAATAGGAAATTAATAATCTTGCTTCTTAACTTTTCTCAGACCAAGCATGTAATACTAACCACATGATTCCAACTTTGCTGCTTAAAACCAGCTGCAAGAGAATGTGAGTAGAGCCACAAATTATGTGAATGTCTGTCTCAATGGTGCCTTGTTTGCTATTTCCAGTTGTGCCTGTAAATCTGCGCCCACAGTTCTTCGAAGTTGCAAAAATTAAGAGCAGCCTAAACTGCTGTAACAACTTTGGCCCTGTCTTATGGAAGTAATGATTTTTATGGATAAAAACAACTTCTCATTGTCACAACCCCCTAAAAATACTCACATCCACTAGTTCAACTGGTGACCAGTTGGAATACATCTGTGGATTTTCGTTCAACCATTTTTCATAATCGTCACTCTGGAAACCAATCCAAACACTTGTTTTCCACCCATACAGATTCATTGTTATGAAGGCTAGAAAATGAAACAGAAACAAAATAAAATAAACCAGTTAGCATTTAGGGATAGATGAAGTCCCTCGCAACACACTAAAGCATTGAAAAAATAATTTCCAATCAATGATGTTACACAGTTACTAACAAATAAGAATGAGGGGCATTTCAGTATCATCTAACCATATATTCACTTAAATTTATTAATTGCAATTGGGTTAGGATCTAGTCCATTAGCTAAAAATACCAGTCCAACCACAACACAGTCCAACTGAAGAAGATTTTCCCAATTTTATTTGAAGTTTTCTCAACTAAAGATAGCTAGTGAGATTCCTCGACATCCAAATAAGTGATTTTACAAGTGTGTGTGAAATTCAACTACAGGTCTTTTATTAATAGGTTTCATAAATATTTCCAAATTTGCTGGCATTTGTTTCTCTGACAGTTCCAGCCTGGTGCTATACTACAGATAAAATTTTAAGTACTACTGAAAGGTAAAAATTAGATATTAAGGTAGAAATTTTAAATTGCAAATTTTTAAATGGTTATTCCATTTTTTTGAGTATTTTTAAAGCATGGTAAGCACAAAAGAATTTGCAATTTTTCCTTAAAATGTATCCGTCATATATCTCAGTGAACCTTTAAATTTTGGCAAACTAAGAAACATTAATGTGTTTAAAGCAGTGGAACCATGGGTAAGAGCTGAACAATCTTCTTTCCTAAAACTGCATCCAAGATTAAACTTTATTACAACATCCTAATGAAGACGACGTGTTATTTATTTAACAATATTTCCAGCACTCTACCTTGCTCCAGTTCATCTTCCAGGATAGCAAGTGACCCATCATAGTTACTGCAAAATTCCTGTGCAGAGTACCAGTTTCTCAGATGATCTGGATCCTTTGGAATTTGTATTAAAAAGCACTGTTTCAAAAAACAAAACCAAACAAACAAACTTGCTTTGTTTGCCTTCCTCCAGCCATTTATCAATCACTAAGAGTGGTCACTAAAACCTTCCACATGCTGTCACTGAATGTTAAATATTTCACTGGTTTCTGTCCTGCCATGGACATCTCCAGCATGCTCAGTGTTAGTTTTCAGCTGTGATCTGGATTGCATTCAAATCTGTTGTTTCAAGGCAAACAATTGATGTTAAATTTATCCCTGCAGTCACTGCAGTGAGCACTGGGATAAATTCAGCCACCTCAATGCATGTTGCTAATAAGGAACTTGGGCATTTAAGAGAAGCCAGATGAAACAGTTACCTTTTGACCCTCAATTGCAAATTCACTTTGGCTTATAATTACCTTTAATGAAGCCCATTTGAAACAGCATGTTTCAGAGGACAGCAGCAATTAGGGATCCATTTAGCACATCAAGGGGTTAGAGACCTCTTTTGAGATCATAAAAGACACTTGGAATTGTCATATGTGGAAAAGAGAGGATGGAGCAGGCTTTTTATGGCAAAGGGACAAACACAATTGCATAGCTTTTGCATATATGAGTACTTACTCCCTAAAACTAAAGTAAAATTTTTAACACCTCGTTAAGACAACTTAAAGTGTGCGCAGCTACTTAACAGCAATACATCTTGGTGTCACCATCTCAGTGGTTATAAAGCTAAGAGCTCTGTTTTCAAAAAACAAGAAAATCTTCAAATATTAAGTAATCCTTAAGTACAATTTCTGTCCTACATATGGAATGCATTTTGAACAATGAAACAGCATAAAAAAGGTTTTACTTTGAATCCAAAGTGCAACCAGCCTTTGGGACACACTCCTTGTTGGTTCGAGTCTTTTGGAACCTCTTTCTCTATCTTCTTTGGAATTTTACGTTTACAAATACAGGGAAGAGAAACAGTACAGTTTTCATCACCCCAGAGTCCTGAGCAAAAAGAAAAATCACAGTTCAATGTTGGTTTGAGAACTGGAAAGGGTTTTTTTTCTTAGATAGCTTAGATATTGTTTAGTGTTTGAGTAAAAGAGATTCTACATGAAATACATTTGGACATACTGCATTACAGTGGATTTGATGGTTTATGGGCACATCATTTTATTTCCAGTTTAATTTTATCAAGTAAAACCAGTTCCTCTACACTGAGTCAAATAACATATGACTATAAAACCATTTATTAAAAAAAAAAAAGAAAAAAAAAAAGATGCCTTCCAGATAAAATAGTTTGACTTCCTTACATTGAAAACTTTTGGCAAGATCCAGGTCATATGAAATGCTGACCTGCTTAGGAGGAAAACACACTTTTCAGGAAACTCAACAAATTTTTGGCCAGCTCCCACCTTCGGCCAGCTGAGAGGGGAGGGTGGGCATCTCTTCCTTTTATCTGATACTAAAAATGGCAATGGCAAACTCAAGCATTCATAAGTCATGAATCAAAACCTGATGATCATGTGTGGGAAGAAAAGAAGGTTTTATGTTTTTTTAGTATTGACTTTTGAGCCCGGGATTACAAGACTGCAGCTGCATTAATCTTTTTCAGCTTTTCTCACAAATACAAAGCTGGCTATTTTTATTTTCCTTGGAACCTGAACTGTTTACTTTATCATATGACTTGCAGATCATCAGAAAACACACACTGGAAAATTACAGAAGTCACTAAACCAGCAGTACTGTGACTTTTTTTTAATACCCAAGTAAAATATTGAACTTTGCCATGATTGAAAGGCTAGCACCAGAATTATGGCACCCAAAAATCCCTCAGAAGATTGGCTATGGGATCAAAAATAAGGTAGAAACCTGAGTACTTAAAATCATGTGCTGATAGAAAAACAGTTCATAGATGTAGGAAAAAAAATGTTTTGAAGTCCACGTGGTCATTTGGTTGTGAGAGAACTGTGAACACCAGCAATGCATTAACATTACTGCTGTTCCACATAAAAGCCCAATTAATACTGAGGTATCAATATCATTGGAATAGTTGTATTTTGACATTAGCGAGCTGTAACTATTAATATAATTTTAAAACCTAGTCTCTGAGCATGTTACTGATATTTCACTATTCTTTCCTTAATCACAGAAGCAGTCATGCAAATTATAACCACGGAACAGGACTTTAATATGGACTGCATTTCTCAAAAGCAATGAAAAAAAAATATAAACCCTTTGGCCAACAACAGAATCAAGTTACAATTACTACAACAAAAGGAAATATAAAAGAAACCTGTTTGTGATGAAATGAAGCCACATCTTTTCCCTGGTCTCTGCAGATCTCCTTCCCTCCCTTCATCCCAGTTCTGGTACGTTACTGGTGATTCATCTCTCCAGCTGCACAGAAACATTAAGAACAAAGTTTCACTTTTTCCTGTCCTTACCTAAAATTGCACCTTCCATTAAAGGGTTCAAAAGGAGATGCAAGGGAGAAAGTAAACAAACAATCACTGTGACCAAGGTCAATATAAATGTCTTTTACAACCCTGTCAGAAGGAATACTGCGATATGGAGATAAAATAAGTGCAATATTATCCTGAATGATATTTACATGAAAATTGAAATTGTCTCTTGACTATCCCACTCAGTCACCAGACTGCTTTGGCCCATCATACGGGGACAGGGCATGCCAAGCACAACTCACAGCACTGTGGCACACACAAGTTCTTACCGAAACTCATCACTGAGGTTTTCTGCGTGCAATCCAATCCACCAGTGAACATCACCAGTCGACAGCTATAAAAGAAATGTTTAGCCACGTGTTTAGATGATGTTGCCCTTCTACCAATGCATAAACAAACTCCAAAAGTCAGACTGTGTATTCAGGTAGCATCTCCATTGGGTTCCAATGGGAAGAACAAGTGCTAAATCCTGCCCATGTTAATTCATGTAACTTCAGTGGGATTATTCACTTGAGTAGAGCATGATTTAGCTTCCATATTTCCACAGGATTGCCGATGTGTCTTCTGTAACCTAGGAATTTACAGTTTTAGGAATTTACAGCCTATCTGATTTGAAAAGACTGTCATGTTAGACCATAATTTGTTTTCCCCCAATTCCTAAAATTAAACAATAGAAAATATTTCCTTTAAGCAGTAATATAGTGCTGATCCTCAATGTTTCCAAAATGCTTTCTGAACATTTACTAACTTTGTATGGTTCATACCAGAGTATTCTAGAGATGCTTTCCAGATTGATTGCTGTTCTCATGAAAGGAGCTAGACCTTTGCTTCTAAAAGGCCAAGTGTTATTGAAAAGCCATGGAAATAATGTAATTCCAACAGCCATGTGTTATTGCTTTGTTGAATTGATTCTAGTTTCAGCTATGACTTGGTTTTACTTCACGGTTAGCCACTCAAACACAGTTTGGGGGCTTTTGGAAGAAGAAAAAAAAAAAGTTCTGAATGTGCAGGACACTAGAGAAGCCACTCTGTATCTGCAAGGCATTTATTTTTTGTCAGGAAGAACTGAAGTCCAGCCTGTGTTGTGCTTCCACACTGTCCTTTGAGTTACAGTTAGGCTTTCTCCAGCTCACATCTTATTTAGCAATATCAAATGAAGAAAACACATTTCTGAGAAAACACGCTGGAATGCTCTCTGATTTGGTATTGCCTGGCCCCTGAGTTGAATTTTTCTAATCACAGCACTCAGGCTACATACTACAGCTTTTAAAGAAATAGTAAAAAATGTGATTCCAAATTCCACGCTAAGAAATTTTAACCAAGTTTTCAAATGACACATGCAAAGTCTGTTTGGACTGCTGAGTATTATTTTAGTCATTGCCACACTTACTCCTACTTCCACAGGAAAATAGTTACAATCACTCAGGGACAAATGTGGCTATGCTGAGAAAGCATAGCCAAGCCCAGCAGGCTTTAAACCAGCTGTATATGTTGTACTCTGAGACAAAACTCCTAGGAAGTTAAGCTGATTTCCAGTATAAAGAGACTAAACTTTGCTTTTTCATTGCAGAATTCTCATAAACTTTTGAAATACCCACTAATTTTAATTATTAATCCAGTTTTAAAAGATCGCATGTAAATAAACATTACTTTAAAGCAGCATTCTGATTATCTATTTTAAGTGATCTTAAGTTGTAAATATATATATATTTATATATATTTATTATATATACATAATTCCTTGGAAACCTGAGAGACCCCATATTACTACAACATAATTCTATTTATGCTTTCTGTTACAAGTTAAAAGCAGAGAAGGCCTATACACAATAAGTGTGAGCCAAAAGTTTTTCTACCCAGAACTGGATGTTCTTTTAAAGATTACACTACAATATCCCTTTACATTACAGCTGCAGAATTTTGTTTTCAGTAAGGCAGACAGAATATTTGCATTAATTTTTAAAATTGTCGTTATTTATTTTACTGAGAACACCTAAAAGGAAACAGACTCAATTTCCTGGGAATTCATCTGCTTGTGAAGCTATTTCTCACTTTCAAAGCTGTTTGTTACATCAGAAAGGTTCTAGAGAATTTCTGCTGTAAACCTGAGGAGGAAATTTAGAGGAAAATGTCCCTTTTTTTCCCATATAAAAATCCATTGTCACAAGGAGGAACCATGACAGCTGCCCTTGGCCAGGGAGGAGTGGGCAGAGAGGAAGAAGCAGAGCGGGATGTACACCACACAAGAAACACACTTTTCTCTTTGCCCCCAATTACCTTCCCAGCTTTGGGATAGGAATCTGGCTTTTGCTCCTCTTGGGTCTTTTGAGGCAGATTGATCAACCTGCTCAATAAGAGAGCTGGTTCTGCAGATTTGAAATGTTATTGTCTTCTTAAGCTAAATAAGGCTTCAGGGACAGATAGGGGAAATGAAGACAGCAAGAACATTATTTCTAAAGTAAAATGTCCTTTGGATTCTACATGGAATAACAGGAGACAGATTCTCTGAAAGATACAGCAGAAAACAGCCAGTTACCACCTGAAGGTTTATTTTTTAAAAGGGGTGCTTTTTCTTACCTTCCTTATTTTACTTTGAATAAAGGTTTGTTCACCAGAAGAATTTATTATTGCCAATCCACCACGAAGCCAGCCACAGACAAACTTACAGGTTTCCCATTCTGCAGGGCTGACATGGAAAAGATATTCTGCTCCTTGATAATATGACCAGGGCAGTTCTAGAAAATGAGAAAAAGTGTCAGTAGTATGCAGGGGTAAAAAACTCATTCCAGGTCTCATCTTTTTTTACCCCCATGGCCAGCCTGCAACCACATGTCAGAGGACAAATACGCCACTAAGAACAGCAGAACCATATTTAACATACCAATTTGTGGTGACATAAAATGGAGTATGAGTTTGGTTTTTTTCATGATACTCTATCCCCTGAGACTGCAGTAATGTCAAGAGCAGTATCTGATGCTCTGGTGTTCCTAAACAACAGTGGCAGATTTGATCTGTAACAAATAGATCCTACAGAGTTTCTTACTGTAAATTTTCAACTTAGAATATTTTAGTTATTTTATTTTTAACAAAGGCTTAAATTCTATTTCCAAGTGATATTGTTTCAAAATGAGAAAAAGAAAATATTTTCATACCAGCTGTGTACCAAACTGGATTCATTGGTTTGACACCTAAAAAAAAAAGTACAAACGAAAAATCACTAAGAATATTGCTGTTCTTGTTCAGGGATAAAAAAGGGAGTTAAACCTTCAAATTAAAGTGGAATAAAATAACTGCCATGCTCACTAATAAACATTTACAGTAGTTTTTATGAATAATGACTTTGAATGGGTATTTCCAATTAACTGGTAATCTTGCTATATGTTTTTAAATTGACTGTTCACATTAGATCTATTAACTGGACAACAAACCTAAGTGGAATAACCTTTTTCACATTGCCATGATTTCATGCAGAAGACCAGTGAGAACTCCAGAGGTTGCTAGAAAGGAGACTTTTAGATATTTTTTTCCTTGTCTCTACTGAATTGCAAGTAATGTGTATAACAGACAGTGCATGATAATTAACATTCTACCTTTTGGTATTTTGCATATCCATTCACGCTTTTCTTTGCAGTGTGCTGGAAAGACTGTTCTGTTTACTTTGAACACACCACAGTTTCTTGAGTCATCTTCAACATACTTGTCCTCCAAAAACGAAGATACAACCTGAAAACAGCACATTGATTCGCTTTCACTGACAGCCCAAGAGGAAGCATTTAAAAACCTCATCATGGAGAAAAAGGAAGGGTTTAGACGTGTATAAAACAGGAACAGCTAAGCAACAACTAAAGGACTGCCTAAATTATGATGGTAAAATACAAATAATAGGGTCCGTAGTCATGTTCTCCCAATGTCCTGTCCAACTCACTTGTATCAGACTTCTTCATAAAAATATGTGAATAGCTATGAAACCTAACACTTTTTTATATGATTAACAGCAGTTGCCCACATCTAAAAGCCTTTGCCTCGATTCAACATATGCTCAGCTGTGACGTGAAAGGTTACTGAAATACAGAATAAACAGATAATTACAGGTGTTCTGTCAGACCACTGCCACGTCCCTCCAGAAAGTGCATTTCTTTTATTAAATCCAATCCAGAACTGTCTGTCTTCTGTTCTATAACAGAAACAAAGAAAATAACATTTCTCATGCACTTTTTCCTTAGCCATTTCAGAAATAATTTTAATAGCACAAATACACATATTAATTTCTTCTTGAATTCTATATATCATTCCATAATACATTTCTTAACATTTTAGTATCCTTGAAGTAAACTCTTGCTTTCCTACTAAAATGTTAGATTATGTTTTACAAGATGAAAACATTTAAAATAGGATTAAAATGGTAGAACCTCCATTTCAATGGGGAATGCTAATTCACAAAAACACCACCTTGACAACAATAGCTGCTCAACATTTACCACAAAGCTCATCTTCAAAAAGAATCACATTGCAATGCTGCTGACGCATTGCACTCATTTTTTAGTTCACATTAGAGTAGGGACTTCTTTGGGCACTAGTAAAGAGGATGGCAAAATGTCAATTGTAGATTAGTATGATTATGATAAAACTTGTTGGTGTTAAAAATCTATTTACCTATCAAAAATTGTATATAATAAATTGTTTAAAAATGTCTCTTCATAGATGTGGCTAAAACTAGCAAGATGGGCTCCGAAATCTTGACATAACGCTTCTGCTTCATCCCACGTTCTTCTCATCAGAACCTTTTCGTTGTGAAATATCTGCAATAAAATAAACATTGTCATAAATGTAGTTCATTTCAGAGACCAGTTTTTTCAGAAACCCATAAAAATCAAATATTAGTCACAGTTTTTTCCAAACTAAAGCCAGGTATATTTCAAGCATAGCTCTGATTCTTGTTACTTTCTCTCACTTTTAAATGCAGTACAGGATGGTAACAGGAAAATGTTTCTTTGTTGAGTGAAAGAAATAATGCCTCATCAAAAGTGTTTTAGGAACAGCATATCCTTAAGCTGATATAGAGTCAGAAAAACTTAAAGCAAGTATGATATGTACCTTGTAGCAGTTGAGCAGATTAGGTTCTGACTCCCATCCAAAATAGCAGGAACTCGAATATCTCTGAAAAGTAAGCTCAGGTTCTTCATAAGAATTGACTTTTTGCTTGCACAATGACATTGCTTTGAAGTTCTCACAGCTTTTCACCTCCCAGTAACCAACAGGGTGCTTCGCTCGCATAGCCACGCATCCTCCAGAACGACCTAGACATGGGAATAAGTGCTGAATGTCAGAATAAAACATCTGAATTTCGTGATTTCTTTGGTCAAGTTGCTGTTTTATTGACATGGGTTTCTGGATAAAACCTTAATGAACTTACAAAACTAGCAAATTCTTTGGTCAGCAGCCAATTTATAAGCCTCTCTTGGCTGGCTTGAGCTTGTAAAATGAACCAGGACAAAGAGTTCCTCTCACAAAATGCACAAGAATAAATGCAATTAAAAACATTACTTTTGCAAAATGCAGTAGTAAAACAATAAATGTAAAGAGTCCAAATCAGAGAGCCATTATTGAAATGGAGCATCTTTATAAATATGTCTCTATTTTCAGGTATTGCTTGGTGGTTTATGCTTCAAAGCTTGAACAACTGTTTAATATTTTCCATTTTTTTTCCTAGGAATATTTTCCTAAGAATTACTATGAAAGAAACAAGATCAATCTAAAGGGGAAGAAGAAGAAGAAGAAATCTCCACACTGTTATTCACAGAAATGTTTCTGGCAACCTCTGGCCTATTTTTCATATAAAACGCAAATTTCAACCTGTGACTGTTACTGAATAAAATTCATGATTTTCTAGGATCTTTTGCTCAGGAGTCTCAGGAAGACCTTGAAAAGCTCACAAAGAAATGTATGGAAAGCATCAATTTTGGTTTTTGACGTTCTTTAAAAAATATGATGTATGCAACAAATGTGTTATAGTTCATAAAGGAACACATGAAAAACACCTCACAGGAAAAGAAGAATTTCAGGGATTCACTGTGTCTATAAGGAGGGCCTGACTGTGGGCAACTTCAGGTTATGGAGCCAAGAGCAGATGTAAATTTACCTCTCTGCTCTCTGGGCCAGGCAGGGAGGAAAGGACTGGGACTCCCCAGTCCCTGCTAAGCCACCGGTGCTGTGGAGGAGCGAGCACCCTCCCCAGTTTCCATTTCCAAGCCTTTGCATTTTTTACCAGCGTGCTACTCACGTGGCTGGTACTTGTTCCAGTTTGTGTAGCTCACAGAGTGATTCTTGCCTGCTGTACTGAGCCAAAAGTATTCTCCTGTGTTGTTGAGGTCTTGCAATCCTATCCAAAAATAAGTTCTCTCAGATTCTGCCATGCTGCGGATCATGCTGTTGATAAAAGCTTGTTCAAACCTTAATAAAATAATCAAAACAAAGGTTTTTAGAATAATACAGGTAAATTGGTATTTCACTGACTAGCTCTCTGACATTATTTTAATTTTCTCAGAAGAGAATGATACAATGGAGGTACTTAATTTTCTTTACAGAATGCTCTGGGGAACTTTAGGCACAAGTCTGTAGCACAAGCCACAATTTATCCCTATTTTTTCAGCACTTGAGCACATAAAAGAAACACTAGAATCAGATCTTATAACCTCAGTGCTTGAACTGCAAGATGTAAAGACAGAATGTATTAATGAGGCACAAATTAAAACAATAAACTCCATGTATGAAGGGAAAATGTTAGTGGGGTCTGAAAAGGCTCCAGAAGACAGAAAAGAAAAATCTCTGCACAGAAGTGTCCTACTGAAACCAGCAGACACACAAACCAGCACTAAGAAACCAGATCTGAAGGACCCAAAGCACCAGCTGAACTGACTACAAAGAGTCACTTTTTTCTTCTTTGATTTCTTCACTAAAGTTATGTGAGAGATACACACCTTTTTGCAAGTTATAACTGCCATGCATAGTAATCCAATATTCACTTAAATGCAATTAGTTCTGATATAGTTTTTATACAAACTCTGAAAAGGATGGCTAAATATAAGGATGACATTAATGCAAAAAATGGAATGCAACACTGTGATCAGTGTTACAGTATCTGTAACACTGTGAGTGACTCAGAAACTGTATTTAATTTTCATTTCCTCTGCATGTCCTCTTTTTATGTCTACCCTCCTTCTTCTGCATTTTAATGAACATTTTAGGATCAGTAACTGAAACGTTTTTGCGGTTTTCACTCTACAACAACAAACCCCAGCAGTAATTTAACAAAACCACTAAATTAAAATGCTTTTGCTACTCCTTGCTATTGCTGCTAAGTGGAACTGGGAAACAACATCATAATTAGTGATGGATACACTGAGAAGTGAAAAAATAAAATTAAAAAAAAGCAGAAAAGGACAGAAGATATCATTCTAGTGCTGTGCAACATGTCCTCAGCTCCCTGCCACATTTGAGCTGCCAGTGCTCAGCTGCAAGAATTTGTCCCTTATTTCCCCTGAATATTTGCCACACTCCAGCTCAGTGCTGCACATCCTGTGCTCAATCCTGGAACCACTGGGCAGAGCAAATTCCCATTGATGTAAATCCTGATGTAGGGTAGCCAGAGGTTTCCTAAAATACCTACCTACTATTTATCTGATTGCTGGGGGTTACTTCCCCTGGTTTAAAGGGAGCAGATGTTTCCTCCTTGTATTTTCAGAGTTTTGGGGGTTTTTATGGTTATTTTGTTGGGGTTTTTTTTTTTTAACAATGAATATGCAGCAGTTAAAGTATCAGTGTGATTTATCTATTAGTATGTCAAACTTTGGAAAGCCAACATAAAGGGTAAATACCAATGGGAGGAGAGAAAACCCAAGCATCTGGACATCTATAGAGGAGAAAGCTCTTGCTAAAGCTGGAATAGAGGCAAATAAGAACAAGGCATGGGAAAACAGCAACAAATGCTTTCAGACATTTACTCTCTTACCCTATTTGCTGCGAAACCACATAAAATGAATACATAAATAGAAACATTTATAAAACATTAATTGATTTGAATTAAAATTTTATATTTTTAAACTATAAAAATAAGTATATTTTCATTTTTCAGTACACCCTCCAAGTTCACCAGTAAAGTTTCTTGAAGATGTTACATACCCCTGCAGAAATAATTTTCTTTAGATTTCTGCATGCCCAAGTGTGCACATTGCTACAATTATTTACTAGCCTAACAGTTGCTTTTTACTAAATTTATTTTCAATTAAAAAGTAAGGCAAAGCACACCTTTGATTTTAGCTGATGTTAGTAATTATGCTCATCTCTCAAGCAATTATTATTTCACCACGGTGACATGTTTTGCCATGCAACACTTTATAAAGTTAGAATAGCTCTTGTTAGAGGTATTTTCACACTGTCTAATAGGATTAACTACCTGTTTGTTACTGACACAAGTGCAGATGGGCAGAAATAACCACTGGAAGCATGTTCAAAACTTCGAGGGGTACTGTCGATTTTGTAACAATATCCACCATGTCTTTCCCATCCCTTAAAAGAAATGAACATTATTTTATAGATTGTTAATTATTGTATAGCTGTTAAAAACTTGGCCCCCTTTTGTCGGATGATCCCTGGCATCCCTACAGATCTTTTCTTTCCTACCATGGTTGAAGAGCAGTTACCCTCAAGGTCACTGAAATGTGGATATCAGATGAGCCAGAACACTGTGCCCATGGTCAGCCTGCCTCATTTCATCTCATTATTACTCTTTTACTTCATTCACCCCAGGGTGTCCAAAAGACACCACCTGGACTGGCGTAAGTTCTGCAGGCATGAGTTCATGCAGCAAAACTGCTTGGATTTATGATTAACTGTTTTAAACCAGCAAGAGGATAAAGAGATAATACACTCTCTTAATCTTTAGATTAACTGAAAGTAACTTTTTTCACATTAGAAAGAAAAGGATCAAAGCCAAGGGACTGTAAGAGGATTCAGCAAATGTTTTTACAGGGTGTGAAACACCAAGAAGCAGAAATTTATGACGAGTGGCTCAATATTTTGAGACTCAATCCTGAGGGACACAGGATTGAGAAGAAGTTGAGGTGCTCTCAATCTGCTGACTATAGCTTGTCAAGAAAACCTCGATGCTCTGCACATTTTTCACCCAGTCAGGATTGTGACAAACCTTTCTTACACTAACAACACACAACATTCTTGATAGGTCCAAATGAAATAAATGCAGTCACCCTAAACTGGAAATCTTAAGCTGGAATTAAGCAGTAATGTCCATAATGGTATGACAAGAACTCTGGATCTGGACACTGCATCTGGGAAAAGACTGCATCTGACTCCAAAAGTTCAGCTTCAACCTTCTTAAAATTCAGCTGAACTGGTTGCGTTTCTTCATTTCCCAAGAAACAAGACAGGAAATGAAAAAAAAGGAAGACAATAAGCTAAATAATAAAGCATCTTAGAAATGAGAGATTTTTTCCTCCACAGTTTTGAATATAACAGAAATTCAACAAGTTTCATCTTTCCACACTGTGAAAAGGAACAAACTAAGTAATACTTTAACACGCTTCCTTTTACTACCAGAACACAGAGCCTAAATGCCTGAAAATATGATTCAATCTCCTAGTTAGACATCTGAGCTCCTTCCGATCTGTGTTTGAAAGCAAATGCGTAAGTGGAAGAGTTCACCCTCCGTGTCAATGGAACTGGTAGGTTTTCACCCTGACATTCCATTTCAATGTATGAAAACCATGTGTGGGATGAGGCATCATATAACAGCCATTAGGGCTTCACTTTTGATCTAGAAAGAAATAGGAACTTGGGTCACAACCACTGATGAAACAACCAGCCATGAAAGGCATCTTGTGAAGGCTTTTAATTTTACATTGAAATTTAGTTTACAGACTTTTAAAGCAAACAATGTGATTTTTCCAAGCAAAACATGCCATGTCTTTAATATGAAGAACTAAAATTATCTCTCTATTTGCACCCATATGCTCTGTAGCTGTATTTAGAGGTTACCTATATAATTCTGTGCCATTAATATAGTTCTAAAACAACCACAAACCCACTTACCTCTGGACAATTTGTTTCCAGTTCTGGAGAGACACTATTAAATTCCCCTGCTTTTTTGCAGATATAGTAAGATTTGTCTTCACATTTTTTAATCCTCCAATGTCCTTCCTAAGGAATAAAAGAGAGTATATTCCACATATACCCATATTCTCATGCATATCCATACAAACATTAGATCACACTCTCTCTTCCTCTTTTAACTCTTCACCAAAAAAAAGTAATTTTTCCCACTCCATTTATTTATCCTTAGATGGTTCTATTTTAACCAACACTGTCAGCAGGACATTCCAAATCAATCATACAGATGGGTTTGTCTCTTTGACTCAGTCTTCAGGATGTAAAGTGTCTCAATTAACTAACACCATGGCCATGCCAGAGCAATTTTCTTTCTAGCTATCACAGTTCTTTGTAAGATTAATCTCTGTATTTGAACAGTCCTTACTCAAGATATTACAAACTCTGTATCATACAATTTTCACACTCTGTACATACTGGACACATATCAAAAACAATGCTTGAAAAATTTTATCTCACACCTAATTTTCCTTTGTATTTTACATTTTCATTTGTTTGTTTACACTTGCAAACTGAGTAAAATACAACTCTGGAATCTAAAACCCCCCATTGTTCCAAAGTCCTATCTTCTGCTTCCAGCAGGAATAGACTTCTCCCACTCATTGTAATTGTCTTGGTTTTCCCCTTAAGTTAAAGACTGCAGCCTGGACCCACTACTGTAGAGACAACAGAAACTCTTGATACAGTTTTCACACTCAGACAAAACATACTTTGCAAAAAAAAAAATTTAAGTTATAGTGCTACTTATGCAAACCATGTATTAGTGAGTTTTAAGTTATGTTAATTGCAAAAGTAAAATAAATGCACGACCACATTACAAAAGAATAGACAGTGCCATGAATACCAACAAGACAGGACAGTGCTGTTTTAACATTACTTCGTGTTTTACAACCCCTGACTGATCTGGTATCAATCTCCTGCTATCAACTTCTATATTTCTTTTAGACCTAGACTACTGTTTTGAAAGACACTCCATAAAATTTATAGACATTTACACAAAGATAATACAGGCACAGCTGACAGCTTTTCAAAACATGAATTTGAAACTTTCAAGATCAGAACTTATGATCATAAATTATGATACACACTACTTGGATTTTAAATTACTTTATCAAAATACTCACTCATATTTGTTCTCTTCCATTTGCCAGGCTTTATATATGTAGTACTTTTTATTGAAAGTAAGCTCAAAATCTGTGATTAATTTTCTGTGCATCAGTACTGCACAATCATTGGTTTCTAAAGGCTGTACTGCATTTATCATAACATGAATACATTAAGAATAAAAAACAAAGTCATGCTTCAGGTCATAGTTTAAAAAAGTTTGCACAGCAAAAAATAAAATTATTATGATCTAAAATAAAAGTGCCTAATTCTTTTAAAAAGAAAACTTACAGGTCCTTGTGCAGAAACACAGAGTTGTCCTGTTCTTTGAAAGGTGTTGGGATCTTGTCTGTGCCAGTTAGAGAATTTTACTGGGGTGTTATCTGACCACTCAAAAACAACAGGGGTGTCATTACTGTATAATCCAATCCATGTCTCTGTCACATTTTCTGTAAAAGAATGAGTTCAGATTTTAATGGTGAAGTGATAAAGACTGTTTTTCCTCTAACATGACACCACCATTAAAAGTTATTAATGGGATTTTTATAGGAATGTCCTTCTTTCAGGAAAAAATAAAGGCTGTATAAACTTTAGGAAAACTTACTGATGAGACTATGTTCTACTGCTCTTGAAAGCTAAATAATTTCAAAAATAGTATCAACATACATGATAATATGCTTTAAAATCCTAAAAAATACAAATTAAGAGTATATGCACTTTCTTGAAGTGCATGGGGCAGAAAACCTGACATGGAAGTAAAATATTTCTTCCTATAATTTTCCATGGCACACTCAGCTTTAGGTTTCTCTGAGAGTTATAGGGTGCAGTGACAGCACAGTTGTAGCCAGTATCTGACAAATAAAGGAGAGACAAGGCTTGAATTTGGATGTAAAATCTTATTTTACCAGCTACTACGGGGGAAAAAGCACTCAGGCTTTCAGGCACATAAGCCCTTCTCCTGAAGAGAAGCCTGAAGCAGGCTGGAGAGAAGCAGCAGACTGAAGCTGAATTCAAGTTGAGAGCAACTACATGAATACATTACAGCATCCCTGTAAATAATGGTTTTTGTTATGTATGGAGGGTCTTAAAAAGGTGAGGAAGATGATGGAGGTTAATCTCCAAATCTCCATATGACACTGCTCCAGCTCTGCGAGAAAAACTCAAAACCAAACTGTGCAGCTCTGCCAGCACACTGGTGTCAGTGGCAGGCAGAAAACACTCACTTTGCTGCTGTTATGACAACAAAAGTATTGGCATTGCTGCATCAAAGAGCTCTTGTTCATTAAGTTCCTTGTGTAATTGTGCTGCCTCTCAAGACAACATGAACTAGCAGAAGTGCTTTGATACGCCCTGCTGGCATCAAAGGGGACTCTGCCCTTGTAGTAACAGCAATTTTGCAGCGTGGATCAGGCCAGCTTACAAGACAAAGATACACTGAATTGGTTTTGCTTCTAAGCACAGCTCTAGTATATGACAGAATATTTTGCAACAGTTTGCAAGGAACCAGGCAAGGGCAGAAAAGGACAAAAGCTAGCATGTTTACTATGGCCTCAGTGTCCGCTTTGTGGAGTCATATCTTTATTTTAAGAATGGTTATTGGAAAAGGTGACTATGCATTTTTAAGACTCCTAAAATTGACATGCAACATGATTTCTTTTTTTGCAAGCATCATTTGGGTGTGCCACGTTATATAGTGCTCAGATGGTAACAAGTTAAAGAGCTGCACAAAAGAGCACCGCAAAACACTTCAAGAAACACCTGCACACTGAAACTCCCCAAACTCACCACTTTCAAGCAAGTTAAGGAGCAGCTCTTCATCTGCCATGGAGGATACACTGATGAGTCTGCTGTTTTCACTGTGGCATGAGAGAGAAGCATCATTCCAGCTCTTCTGCTCTTTATGCAGTCTGTAGCAGTTGCGATTGTGCGGGTACCAGCCAGCGTCACAGCGAGTGGCATGATACTGCCATGTATCTTGAAGTGAGCACACAAAGTTCATATACATTAGACAGAATTGCCAAGCTTATGTTATGTTCATAACACATTCAGAGATATTTTTTAACCTTAAAATGCTGAAAACAGAGTTTTCCAAGAAGACTTAAGGAGGCCAAAACACCTGCTCTACGGATCACCACCTACCAAGCAAACTGAAATTTCTTCCACCTTATTTGATGATTAAACCATTCAGGCTGCTGGACTAGTGCAAATACTAATTCAGTTTAAAACACAGTTTATCTCCCTTATTACCTCTGAACCTGGTTCAAAGACAGATAAAGCTTTTTCAGATGCATTACCTACAGAAAGTTTGGATAGTCTTTCCTTACTACCCAAAACAAGCTGCTAAACTTTAAGTTACTAGGAAGGAGCTAAACTCATGTAAGTAGCTCTTACAAAACCAAAAATTTATGTTAGAATAAACTAAGTTCTGTTTTTAACTTTCTCCTGTTCCTGAGTTAATTCTATGCTCCATATATCCTATACTCATTGTACAAACACTTGAATTGTATGTACAACACTTTTTTGGCTGTTTTTATCAAAAACACAGCATATCATAAAAAAACCTGCAAATTTTGTGCTGCATTTATACAGCTTTCTTCTCTGCGTGCCACTGGTTAATTCCATTCACATTGAAAACCTATTTTGCAACTCATAAATGTGGCTCCTATTGTAATATAAAAGAGAATGAGCATGCCAATGGTGTAAAGAATGAAGTAAATGCTATTTGTATTAAAATTGTTCTTTTCTAAGGCTCTCAACAGGTTTTGAAAGACTGAATTTAAACAGAAGTGTTATTACATCAGTTAAAGTAAATTGTGTTCAACTTAAACTAGCAAACCCACACATTCAGTGCAGCTGTGACCCCTTTCTGCTGACTTTTTAGTCAGGTGGCTTCTCTTGCTCTCCTTGCACACCCACAAATAGGATACAGTAACACTGAGACACTTACCCAGTGTTTCATGCTCTGTCTTATTTAAATATTTTTTGCATACAAAAGGCAATCCAGATTCACACAGATAGCTGTTCCAGCCATACTTCAATCTTGGATTAATCACTGCACAATGATTTTCTTTATAACGGTTATCAGAGACATCTGCAAACACATTTTTGAGAAGCACACAATTACAAAAAATCAGTTCTTAGCTGTAAAATGGCTTTGTAAGGTTCTCTGCAACTACTTGAATTAATGTATAAACATCCCTGCATACCCAAGCTTCTAGTAATCATGCTAGTACTATGGACAGTTGAACATTTACCATGAACTGCATGTGTGGCAATGCCTCCTTGGCTGCTGCTCTCAGATGAGAGGCTGAAACAAGCTCAGGTGTCTATAATTGCTTGACAGACTTCAAAATGTAGCAAACCAAGTCACAAAACTCACGTTAATGTGCTAATGGTAATTAGCTTGTTAACATAAACAAATTGAAGCTCCTTTTCTCCATGAATGTAGTTACAGTTTCAAAATGCAACTGGAACCTCAAAAACATCTTTAAAAGTACAAAAGGACTAGACCATTAATGCTTTGAAGAGATAGATCTCACTTGATGTTATATCCACAGAAAGGCTTTCAGTTTGTGAAAAAGAATAAATATTTCTACCAAAAAAAGGTGCAGTCATTAACTTAATTCAACTTTCAAACATAGCTGTGGGAGCAGCAGTGCTGTACCAAGCTGCAGATACAGACAGCATATAATTATGGGGCTATAACATATGCAAGAGGAACACCAAGTACTTGCTCTCCAGTTCACAAACATGAGTGGTGCTCCATCTGACCACTGCCAGCCAGCATCTTCATCCAGGCGATTCAGGCCCATCCACAGCATCATGTCTGTGGAATTTAACTGACCTGAAACAGAAAAAAATAAACAAAGTAATACTGCATGCTTTCCCCAAGCTTTAAAATATCTACAGGCATAGATCTGCTGTCCTGACTTGTTACAGTTGGAATAAAACAAAACTTCAAAGCAGTCTCCAGAAAGTTCAGGCCGGTTGGCTTTTTTTCTGTCCTCAGAAAAAGTCAGTTACTTTGTTAATCAACACAGAGATGAAAAGGAATAAACTCAGAAACCTGAAATTCTTCAAAAGCCACTCATTCTGCAAACCCTTCCTGCACCAGTTGTTGCTGACCTTAGAAGTTAAATCTAAAACAAGCAGCTACATAAATGCTAGCCTGTTTACATAAACACTAGCCTGTTTCAGTTTTTTATAAACCAAACAACTTTCAGAAACATTTACAGCCTTGCAGGCATATCAAAAAGCCAATGAAATAATTTTTAAAACTTCCTGTTAGCTTATATCCTTCAATTGAAAACCAGCAATAGTGGGAAGCAATGAACAAGAAATCTGAGGCAACCTTTGCATCAGAGCTCCACCACCCATTCCTCCACTTGATTTTCTCCACTTGCACTAAAACATCCATGAAATCCTTGCTTTCAGAAGGCTCTTCACAGTTTGTCTGAGACACTTGCTCCAAGGGGAAAAGTAAATTGCTTGTCAGAGAAGGAGTAACATGTATTTATAGAGCTGGCACTTTTAACATACAGGATATTTACTTTAAGCCTGCAGAAATGTTCCTATCATTCCCATTTAGTGAAGTCCATCTTACAAGGAAAACGTTGCAGGAGAAAGGGACACCAAGGTACATTGCAGAGAAGGTAAACACATGTATAATTCTCCAAAGTAAAGAGCTGTGTAAATAATGTGGTTAGCACTCCCTAACCACAGCTTCAAGATGAATGGGAATCTCTGTGGGGAGAGAGAATGGAGAAAATGACAACCTCACATAACACCACCACTTCTGCACTTCAGTTTATTAAGGTGGGGACTTACCTTCATCCTTGCTCTTTCAACCAGCTCTACTGAGGTGTGTTACATGACACAGCCCCAAAGCAGCAATGGGAGAGAAATCACTCAGGGTATTGGGCTTCGGAGCTTATCCCTTGCACAGGTAAGGAGGAAATCTAACTACAGGTTTCCTACAGGGTCCCCAGAGCAATGTCTACTCACTGTTTAAGTTACTTATGTAGTCCTGCTCATCGGGGCTGGTGACACTGAGCAGGTCCCCTCCTTGCAGCTGGCAGGCAGCCCGAGCCTCGCGCCAGCTCAGCACGGACGCCAGGTTGAACTGGTAGCAGATGTGTGTCTTGGGGTTCTTCTTCCAAAAGATGTCACAGCCACTCTCTACTCAGAAACAGATTTGTCACCAGCTGCCCAAGACGCCAAACCAATCAGAAACACAACACCTTGAACAATTTAATTAATTAATGACAGCTGTATTCCAATGGAAGCACAATTAGGACTGCCTTTTCTGTTATTTTGTTAACACAAATAGGGAAATAGGGCACTAATGAAATAAAATGTTGCTCCAAATTTCTTATGGTTGATAAAATACTCAGGAGCTGATCTGCACCTGGTGGTGATTTTCACAACTCTCTTGAAGCCAACGCAGCTACATTTTAATTTATTCTGGCTAATCATTTGTCTCTAAAGCTGAACATTCAAATATTCAAACTGTGAACACCTCACCCAACTTGTGGCAACATTCACTGTATCTTCTTGGACCTTGTACTCAAAAGAATAAACTTCCTATAACTAAAAAGGATAAGCAAGGCTGCAAATACTATCTATTTTAACGGCTGCCCAGAAATACTCACTACAAAGACACATTTACAGCTGGTTTTAAGATGCTTTGAACAGAAATCTGAAATGTAGCTTGAGCAGGAAAGGCTTTTCCAAACCACTTCTACTGATAGAAGACGCTATTTTGCTTACTTACACAAGAAGCTGAAATATTCACAAAGATCATACATCCAAAATCTTTTCAACAGCAAGTATTTTTAAAGCTATTGCTTTTTAGTATTTTAGGCCCAAGGCATATCCAAGCAGGGCACAGAAGAACAGGAACGTGCCAGATGCAAGGCAGTCCAAAGCAGAAGGTGTCTTTGCAAGAGCAGCCCTTAGGAGATGTGTTCCACACCAGCTGCCTGTGTGTCACTAGGACAGAGGGCTGTGGCTGCAGGGCAGGGTCAGTGGGCTGCACAGAATAAGGTCCTTCTGCTGGTCCTTCTGCTGGTCCTTCTGCTGGTCTTGCTGTTGTGATGAGGACTTTGAGTCTCAAAGGTCAAATAACTGTAACAAATTTACTCAAGTCTTCCTTGAGTAAACCCAGCTTTTTAAAAAGACATTCCCCTCCAACAGAAGGGAAGTAATCAAAAATCAGACTGTGTCCTAGTATTACTAATAAAGAACAAACTTTTGGAGGGGGGAGAGAGAAGACAAGCAACACCTTACCAGCATTTGGGCAAAACCCCCATTTTTCATCTTGTTCATAGTGAGTTGTTGTGGCACACCACTCAGATTCCTTTCCATCTCTGGTACACTCATGATACCACTTGTTGTTATATTTAAATGGAAAAACACATGGAAAACCAAAAGAATTTCCAAGCAAGGTGTATGTTTCTGGAAAAAAAAAAAAAAAAGCAGAGATTAAAACAATGCAGACCACAAAAAAATTTTTTGTCCCTCATATGTCATTATTCCGGTATTTAGAATCAGTAATAAAAATAAAATGTCTAAAGTGACTTTTAAATTTTAATTTATAATTGATAATAGCATTACAAGTGTGAGCAGCATAATTTCAGTAAATAGAATGCGGAAGTAATAACTTATGAAATTTGTAATAACTTATGAAATTTGTCAGTGAGGCACATTCTTGTAACTTACTCCATTAACAAAAAAATTCCCAAACAAAACCACAACCCCCAAAATGTGATCAATTAACACAAAGTCTGCATCTACATTTCAGAACAACCACATAAAACAACAATTAGTTAAATCATAACACACTCAGATGCAAATTCTACTTATTTATTAGTTTATGACAGATGAGTAATTTAACATTATTTCCCTGCTTCTCCCACTCTTTAAAAAGTGGATTTCTAATGTGTTTTCCAATCTCTTTATCATTCCTTGGGAATGGAAATGTACAACATTAAGGAATATTAAATAGACTTTTAAAAATAAGTTTTTATCCTGTGGAGAATAATAACATAGCTAAAGACTCGATGCTCCATATATCTGTTGCCACAATCAATGCCTTACAAAATATTTAAATATTTTCCTATTGTGCTTGAGGACCAAAATATTGAGAGAATCCAGTGCAACTGAAAGATGTAAAAGCTTTACCTCAGTGAGTGTCTCCTAAACCTCAGAGCTTTTAAAAAAGTTCAAAGAACCACAATCACTCTTTGAATGAAATTGTTTATCAAAGATTCCACATTGATAGCTTTAAGACCAAAGTCCTTCAACTACAGAATCAATACATACTGCCAGGTTCCTAGAGGTTTCTAGCGTTAATGGCTGGCTGTGCACATATAAAAGAGCAGTTTATACATTGTAAATCCCCTCCTGATATGAATGAACGGCAAATACAAGGAACAGGTCAAAAAATAAATCAGGATTACTTTTCTGTCTGCCTGCTACCATGCTACCAGCCACAGAGGGATTATCTCAGTCCTGGCAAGAAACCAAATTCAATTGCTACAGACCTCTTACCACAGTTACACATATATTTTTTTGTTTTATTTTGGAGGTAGCTATCCCTCACACCCCTTGCTTGGTGGACTAACAGGCTGGGTTGCCTTTGCATCTGCATGATTTGTGGTAGAAGGCAGAAAACAGAACCTGAAAGAGATTTTGCCAACACAATTCAATACTTTGGTCCTAAAACAAGGCTAGAAGTACCTGCCTAATGCTCATCCTCTCCTCATCTCTCTGATATGTTGCAGTTGCTAAACCAGGTCTACTTTCATCTCACTGTGTGTACATGGCAAATGTGTATGACTTTTCATGGATTTATGTATTTTTCTGTCAGGTCTTAAGTATGAATTCCCTTAGGTTTTAGAAAAGAGGTCGGGCACTGTAGTATTTTCCCAGTTATCACAGGTCCCAAAGAAGGAGTTTGGTGAGAGCAGAGGCTGAGCTACATCTACAGTGGAAACCACTAAGACCAGGTCTGGAACCCAAACACCCAGTTCAAGTGGGAGAAATCAACAACTTCAGTCTGAGACAGTGCGCAAACATCAGGTCTCTCCCTCTTACAGAAACGCTGAGGAAGGGGCAAAGGTACAGGCTGTCTGTTGCTGCTTGAAGTCAGTGGGTTTATCTTAGTCCTTAAACCCAGAAAACTGTTCGGGTCTTCAGACCTGGATCATGATGTACATTCCTACACCTTCACCGGCTGTTCAGCAGGATTTATCAAACTTCTGATCTCTGTTTCAAAGTTTGGCATGTTCAGAGTCCAGGTGCTGAACATTGCAGACACTGCTCCATGCACACTGCAATTACAGACTGATTTTCAGTGACAGGAACTCCAAATCCTTTCTTATCTCTCTTTGGGTTTATCTGATAATGGAAGCTGCAGGACAGGCAACAGCAAATCCTTAGTAACCCTTTTAATTTTGCAGGTGATTTGAAATGAGCATTTCCTGGTTTGCAAGGATACTGGTGGGTTTGGGGGTCAATTTAACAAAAGATTACACACACAATTGTGTGGTATGCTCATCTCAACCACTGCACATAAAAAAAACCCCACAAACTTTGAGGCCCAAACTGCAATAGAGACTGGAAGGGATCATAAGCACCTGATCTTCCTCCAACAGAACTTCTGAAATTTTCCCATCTACTCTTCTATGACCAAGTTTTATTCTTACCTTGAAATGGGTGTTCACAAAGGTCTTCATCATAGGACATATACTGTTTCCATTGAGAAGTAGATTTTTTTTTGGCCACAATATGTTTACTGTTTTCAACTGCTAATTTGAACTCTGATACACCAACTAACGCATTTCCATCACAGTTCCACCACAATGAGTACTGAGTTGAATCACATTCAAGCATAGTCAGTGGCTGCTCTGGTTTGCTGATGTTCAGCCCCAGACAGGTGCTGCTGCCTATGTTGAAAAGACGACGGTTGGATGCCCATTTCCATAACATCTTTTCTGAGAGCTGACCGCAGTCTTCCAGAACAAGGCCAGCTCTGTCCACTTTAATGCACAAACTGGAATTTTCACTCTGGATAATAAATATCCCTTTATCTGTAAGGGGAAGAAAACACAACAAACTTTCAGTCTGTAGAATACTGCAATTGATTAAATAGTATTAAAAGACAAATGTTTTAATTTCAGCTATTTAGGAAGAAAACTGAAAATATCCATCAGAATAACTGGCACTCCAAAAAACTAAGGTGTCATAGTCTAATTTTACTGCCAGCTGATTTTTGTAAACATGTGAACTACTTGCAAGCTCACAAAAATACAACCAAGTAATACTTCTCAAGTTGGATAGCCAAAAATAACCTCAAACAAAAACAAGAGGTGCCCAAAAACGTCAGTCATGTTTAAACAAAAAAGCCACTGGTCACCAAGACAGAGTAAAGGTCACAGTAATGAAGCAAAGGTTTAAGTAATACAAGTCATGCTGTATACTGTGAAAATATTCCCAGTGTAGATTGGAGAGTGCAATTAAAGTAAAAGCCAAATATTTTAAGACTGACATTGCCATATTCATTCTTTACTCTGCAACTATAAAAAAGAAAATAAGTTGCATTGTCAATAGGACACAGAAATAGCAGGATTTATCTGTACCATTAGAACTGGTGGCCAAGTGCCACCATGCCTTTCCTATTTGATACATATTGTTCAGCCATCTGTGACTACCCTCCACAAGAGCAGATGTTGTGGGGCTAGCCTGACAGCCCAGATTTTTTTTTAATCACACAGAAATTCACTGAAATATGTGACATCATGTTGTGAGTATGTGAAAAAAGTCAGCTGTTTAATGTCTTGGGAGCAAAAGTTTAACTGATCATATAGACTGGGAAAAAAAGAGGGCAGCTGAGGAACTGAAAATCAGCAAAATGTAAGCCTGTAACAGCTCAGCTACTTGATTCATCCAGAAATCCAAAGGAAAATAACCCAAGGAGTTCTGTTCACATTATATGTGAGATATTTATTTTATGCCTCAGGAGATTATGTGTTGAGAACCTGAGCAGCACTTCCATTTTGCCTTCAAATTTTACAGTGATAATTTCTGCCATGCACATTTTCAAGTTTCTGTAATTCACTACACCTAGCATACTGAAGCACTAACTATGACAATAAAAAATCTCTCTCAAATTGACATAGGCCACAAATGAAATATAAGATGCAGAGGACCACTCAGATGCTGTGTCTGAGTTTAATGCATAGAGCTTAGGTGTGGCCCTAAAAAAGGAAGATGTTTCAAGCAGCACCATGACAGTGTTGTTTAACAAGCACACAGGAGACCAGCTCAACAATATAACGAGCATGCAACAGGCAGAACAGCAAGGATATGGATTATGGAGAGGTTTTTGGTTACAAATTCTGCATAAAACACCTTATGACTTAGAGAGGTGGCACTGCAGATTGTGGCACTGCTAACAGTGGCTGTTTCCCACATGGCTATAGAGATTAGCAGTCTGATGGAGCAGGAGCAAACCCTTCTGACTGGCAGCAGGTGAAAGTCAGTGAAGTTTTGCAGTTCATACTGGTTTCACCCTTCTTATCCAACCCAATTCTCCATGGGCAACACAGCTGTCTCTGTTTACATGGCCAGAAAGAGTTTCTGCCTCTCATACTACAGACATATCTTTTCAACAGCAGTCTTATCTTTGCTGACCAGAAAATACACTGTTAATTTGCTAGGTAACTAAAAACTGGGATGTTAGCACTACTAAACTCTGATTAATGAGGTTAATTCACCAGGATACTTGGATCCACACACAGATTGTGAGTTTGACAAAGTTTATCTATATCCACAGCACACAGCATCTCCCATACAGCACCTTCCTGGGGTGAGGGGAACAAGACCACAATGCAGAGGTGAAGGATTCTCAGCCTTTGAAAGCCTTTATCTGTAAGGCCCTTAAGAGTTGCAGTAACTGCTGAGAAAAGATAAGGTTCTTTCCCAGTGTACACAAATAACCCATCTGGATCTCTGTGAATAACGTCCCTTTTTCATTCTGGGGCAACTTGTCCAAAAACAGCTAGACCATAATTCTTGAGCCCCCTTCCAAATGTGGTTTCCATTCCCCACATACAAAATTGGCAAGAGAGCTGTGCTTGCTTGCCTGAAGACTGCCAGGAAACAGCCAGCTCACTGCAGAAGCAACACATGAGAGATGGCAGGCTCAGTGACAGTTCCAGGAGCTCCAGCTCAGCTCTGTCTTCAACTGGGGCAATGAGACAACTGGAGCAACATCAGTCCTGGGAATGCCTCCAGGCTCACCTCTTCTGAGCTTGCAAGGCTACACCATCCACTTTACAGCTGCTCACTCAGATGGGTTTTGTTACAAAGCTCCTGGTGTCAGGGAGAGGTCAGTGCCCAAAGTCCTGCAGATGAAGAGCTGCAACGGAGCCCTGTGCCCCAGGGGACTCCAAGAGGAAAGGAGATAATCTATGCTTTGGAAACTGAATGGATGAAGGGAAGTCTTTAGAACAGATCCACTTCTCTACATCCATGCCCCTCCACACAAGGACAAGGTGACATGAAACGCATTCCCAGAAGAGAAGCCTGGAGCTGATGTTCAGCCCCAGATGAAGAGCTAATTGCTGACCAGCACCTCCAAGTTCCTGTTTACTTGGGCTCAACACAGCTAATCGGGAATAAACGGCTGTAACAAAACCAGGCGAACAAGATAGCTTCGTTTCCTTCCTCCTTACCTCCCATTTCCTTCCCTCAAAAAAGCAGTGAGAACTGCTTATGTGATAATAAAGAAAGTAACTGAGATTTATTGGAAATGAGAATAAAACTATCGCTATTCTCCCCGGGTGCACGGAGCACCCCGATGGGCAGCGGAATAAGAAGCCGTGAGGACGCGAAGCAGAGCAGCGGAGCAGCCCCCGGCCCCTCGTCCCGGAGCGCTCGGAGCCGCCGGGGCTCGGCGGGGCTCGGCGGTCCCGCAGGGCGGCAGGGTTCGGCTGTGCCCGTCCGGGCCCTCCGCTCCGCTCCCCACCCCCGGGCCACCCCGAGGCGTCACTCACTCCGCAGGGAAGGCACCTCGTCCCGGCCGAGGGCGGCGGCGCCGCGGCTGCCCAGCAGCAGGAGTAGGAGGAGGAGGAGGAGGAGGCAGGCTGCCCGGAGCCGCAGCCGCACCGCCGGCATCGCCCCGGCGCTGCGCCCGCCGCTGCCGCCCCGCTCCGCGCGGCCCCGGGAGCGGAGCCGCCGGCCCTGCCCCGGGGAGGGCAGAGCGGCGATCCCACCCCGGCGGCGAAGGAGGGGCGGCCCCGGCGTGGGATCGCGGCTCCCCCCGTGAGGCTGCGGGGAAACGCCGCTGGTGCAGCTGGGGCCGTCTGCCTGCGTCAGTGCTGTGCGTTCACATGGACAAAATACGCTGTAAGAACCTTATTTGCCACCTGAAAACACCTACTTTCTTTCGCCTGTACCCCGAGTATTTTATCTTAAAAAGAACCAGAAAACACACAGAGACCTTGGCGGTGAGAGGCCACCGTCAGCACACTCCGTGTTCCCAGGTTCGCTGTTCTGTACCTGAACTGTCCCAGACCCCACGTGGAGACTCGTGCTTTTCGCTAGGTCAGCTTTGACCTCGAAGTCATTTTATATTTTGGCATAGGGAAAAAGAATTGCCATCTTCCATTTTGTTCATCTCTGTCTTCAGTCGAATATTTGCAAGAGCTGCCCCCCTTGGCCTGAGTTTCAGACTTGCAGAAAGTCAAAAGCAGAACCTCTTGGTTAAAAATAGAGTAACTTTATGGGAATCCACAGGACCGTTTGTTTTTAATCTGCAAAAAGCATGTTTCTTGTGTGTTCTTTACGTATAGCAGACAAGTAAGTATATAAACATGTCCATAAGCGTAAAAAAAAATAAATGCAGCGCTGGAATTGAGACTGTTCCCCCATGTCTACTTCAATCATGATAAAAGGATGGAAAAGAGAAGCCTCTGGGCTTGGGGAAACTTCTTGCTGTTGGCTGGTAGAGGAAGGGCTTGAGAAGCAAGAGAAAATAAACACTTAGAAAGAAGTAGATAAGTGGAGGAGTTTCTCCCCATTTAACAAATGATAAAAGTGTCTGACAGAACAAACAGCAGGAAATACTGCTGCAGAAGCTGGTCTGGGAGTGATCTGACTTTGCAAGGCAGAAGGGCTGTAACTCTCAGGAGGCTGTGGTGTACCTCTTCTCAGGAAAGCTGCAGCCTTCTGAAATTTTGAGATTCTGTGAGAGAAGCTTGTTAATGAGCCATTTATGAAAATCTGGCCATTCAGACGTGTCTACATCTCTTCAGAACTGTTTGGCCACTGCTTTAAATACTGAGCTCCAGGAAAGGGCTCTCTTGCTCTTCTCACACTGAGAAATTCAGCTCTGTTTGTGACAGAACATTTAAAAATAATAGTGCCAGAGAGCAAAAATGAGGCTGCTGTGGGAAGGAGTCCCACTTAACTGGATTTTTCTGCTGATTTCAGCAAGATCAAAGTAATCACATTCTAATTATGTATTCCTAATAATTATCAAAGTATTTTTGTAAATATTTTGCTAAACGCAAATTAGCAACTTAATTAATTCTAAGTGGTTTTCCTTGCTATTTTTACTTGCTATTGACTTCCTTCTCTTTGACTGAACAGTTTTTTACTGTCCTCAATTTATTTTGTTCTCACCAAACAAGTAAATAATTTCTAGTGCATCCTGACCTGGCTATTTATAGCTAAGGTATACTTATTAATTTACAATAATAAGAATTCTTGGCTGGAATAATGGCTTGTAGAACCAACATGACTGGCAACATTTTCTGAAGTAAACTCGATGGCAGTTAATAATACCTTGCTCATTAAATGGTATAATTTTCCATTTTTGGTGGATGGGGGGGTTCAGGTTTGAAGCTTTGTCTTCTTTAAGGCATTTGCTGTATTGATTGGCTTCTTTATTTTATTTTCTGTCTGGAACCAACTTTCTGTAAATATTTTTTTCTTCATCTCTTTGTTAATAGCCTGTTCTCTTCCTTTTATTTTGGTGTGCATACACATGTACATATGTATATGTGTATATGTATATATGTTTTATATTTATATATAGATATATATATACACATATGCACTTGTTTGAGCTGATCTGCCTTTGCTATTTAGGTACTCTACACAAATGTTTATTTCTTCCCCTATCTTTTCTTAGACTTCACCTTCTGTTTGAGATCTGTGCAAAGATATGAATCCAGTGCATGTTCATGACCTGCATCCACAAATAAAAGGCATCATTCAATTCACACTAATTCAATTTGCTTACAAACCCATTGCTTTTGCAAGGCATACACACAGATCCAGTGTGTCATGCTTTCAGCACCTCCTTACACAGTAATTTCTGCTCATAATCTGGAGTCTGAAGACAGATTGCATTTTTTCCCCAGTCAGCCAGAGTGGGACTAACAAACCAGAGAACACCTAGGAAGAAAAAGAAGACCCAAAATTCCTTGCATTAGCAGTGCCCAGCAAGCCATAATTCCATCTTTTTTTGAGGATTTTCCAACATCTTATTTGGATCTGAAAAGTGACAGTTCGTAGGAATCCTGAATCCACTCCCCAGCAGCCTTGGGCTGAGGCTGGTGCGAAGCAGAGAGCTGTGGAATGAGCCATGTTCTGACAGTCTGTGTTCCCCTTGGCATGCCTTTTGCAGCTGCAGTGTGCTTGGAGCTCTGGGCTTTGTGGCTTTCTGAACCCTAACCCTGGGTATAACCCTAACCCTAGGCTGAGAAGCAGATTCACCTTCCCTTTCCCTTATAAGTTTTTCTTCTTACCCCAGAGACAGAACTACTCTCATTTATCAACTCTTCCAGTCATGATACAAATGGGTATAGTCACTACAGGCACTGCTTCCCTGCCTCCTCTGACCCATCCCAGCCATGACCAGTGACACCCTTTTTCCTTTCTGCAGCCCCACCTGTGTGTTTCTGTGACACCACTCCTGTCTCCCATGCTCCCAGGTAATTGCTGCAGCCACCAGGCTCTGCAGTTTCTGTCCCTGTCAGCTCACACTGGTTAACATGACCTTACAGAACAGCCTGTACTGGCCAGCTTCAGGTTAGGTCAAATCCCCAGTTGTAAATTGCCAGTTTTATGTTCATTAGTCAGAATGTGGGGGTTTTTTTCCCTAAATGTAACTTCTTAGTTTTATCTGTTAGCCGGTTAGCTTCAGGCTAGAAACTTATTTTTCAAAGTGAAAAACTCCTTTAAATGGTGACAAGAGCATTACTATGAGTTTATGCTTCTAAATACTGCTAAATAGCAGCTGCTCTTTCACAGGCATGAAATGGAAAGAATTGCTGCCTGTGTGGCTCTTACTGTGCCACATGAGCCATCCCCAGGTGAACCCTTAACTTCCCAAGCCCTCCATCCCTCTTCCGCCAGTAGACTTGTGCCAAGCAGACTTGGCACAAGTCTAGAATAGTTTGTTATAATATATGATTTAGTAATAGGTAGAAATTTTACTTTTACTATAAATCTAGCATGTCAGACTGGCTATTGATTGGCAGTTATATCAAATTTAATAGTAGGCAGATATTCATGTAGTTCATTTGATATGGTATTAAGGGGAAAAAATCCAATATTTAAATACTTGCAATAAAACATAAATGGCTAGTGGGGCCAGAGCTGCCTCTGGCCCATCCCTCTTTGTTTCTCAAAGCCTTTCTTCACCTTATCCTTTCCGTTTGAGATCCTTGGCAAAACCGTACCTGCTGTGTCATTCATCCTTCAATGTAACACAGTCATTTTTTTGCCATTCTTGTTAGTACTGTTCCTGTGAAATCAATAGAATAATGAAGCAGTTTTTGCAAAGATTTGCCACCAAAATAATGCCTTATGTGTTCCCAAAATGAAGCTATTAATATTACACTCTAGATTTACTAGAAGACTCTGAGCAACTCAGGAAGAACAGACAACCACTAACAACTACGATCAGTCTGGATGGAAAAAACTTGACTGGGTGTAACACTTGGAACAAATATATATGCTTGCAGAAATTCTAGGGCATAATGTTTGCTCAGTGCTGACATGATTTCACAGGTTGGGAGAGGGTGTGCCTTTGCACCTTGTACACTCCTTCCCACAAGAGCTGATCATGTTTTCTCAGCGGTGCTTACATGCTCCAAAATTAGACTCCAAAATCCCACAGCTAATATAAATTACTTACTGTGTTCATTAGAGAATATATGCATGAGGAAACCCAAAGAAATTTTACTTTACCTCTTTCTTTAACCAATTTCTTCTCAGGTGAAATAATCCTTGTGTTAGACACCTTACTTTGTATTCAATAAAAATGAGTAGACAGATTTTTTTTTTTATTATCTTCAATATTTTGCCTTCTGGTAAATCAGATTTAGAGTCAGTCCTATACCTGAGGATTTATGAACTAGCATTCAGGAAAGGGATAAAGAGAAAATATGCCCTTTGCTGTGTATTTCCAAAAAGATATTTCTGCTATTACCCTGACAGAATGGGTGGAACTTTAGCTTTAAGTAACTTGTGCTATTTAGAAATCTGCACAAAAGAATCATGGAATGGTTTGGGCTGGAAGGGAACTTAGAGATCATCTAGTTCTAAGGAAAGAAAGAATGACATATGTCATCAATCAGTGTTCCAGAAATAGGCTGCTTGCAACGTTCATCCATTAAGTCATTTCCTTGAAAAGTAAAAGGATCGCAAATGAAAAAACTCTAGACATTAAATTTCATGTGCTGTCTTCTAAAGGGGAGAGGTAAATAATTTCTAAGGTATGCCAAAGCATGAACAGTCTTCTAAGATTTGTGAAAACAGTGATAATAACACAAGCCAAAATGGAAAATGAAGAATGAACAAAAAAAACCCCTTATTATAAAATGATTCTATTTTACAATCTTTATTCAAGGTCAAATAACTCATTTTTACATAAACAAGTTGAATGATTTACTGGTTTCTTTCAAATAGATTAAGCTAAAATTCGTCTCTTTTTATTTTTAGATTGTGTGTGATAAGTTTTGGGGGCAATAACTGTTAAACACTCTGCAAAACAAACTTCAACTTCTACATTAAAGCAGATGAGGCATGGAGAGTATTGCACTTGACACCCAAATCTTGTATCCCAGGCTCATTACCCACTAGTTACATTACAAAACAAACTTGAATGCAATCTGGACATTTACAATACAAATTATCATGCACCCTTTATTAATCAAATGAAAAATTATCCATTTAACATACATTACTGAAATTACTATTCTATTGGGTGTATGAGATATACAAATACCATAAAATTGCTGCTGATTATTATTTTATTCAATTTAACCCATTAGTGAATAGAAGTATTACTATTTAAAAATGTTTTGGCCACTCTCAAGGTCCAGCCTCAGGTCAAAACAGTGTTTGTGAAAACAGCAGAAACGTTTTCATCCCACTTACCACGTACTTATAGCTTGGTAGGGAAAAATATTTTTAAAAAAAGAAAAATATGAACTTTGATACAAATTCTACAAGATGAAAATTATATAGTTAACAAAAAAGGGATGAATACCACTCTTGTTTCAAGGATGAATGCCAAGTGAGATCTTCAAAGTTCTTGAAATGTGGGACTTTAGTCAAAATGTATGATCTAAATTAATGCTGTTAAATATGGTTTATATGTATGAGTCGAGTTGATATCCTCCAATAATAGAAACCTTCTTCACCAAGTCCTTCTATTTTCTCCTCTGATGGATTCTTAATTGTTTGAGTGATTTCCATCCTGACAAATTGGAAGGTGCACAGAAAATTTATAGTACAGTCACTCACAGCAGGGAAATTGCAAATCATCCTGCCTGGCTCCTGTACATCTTTGATAATTTAGAGAGGGATTGTTAGGAGGAGCAATTGGACTGTAAACATAACAAATTGGATCTCTGCTGATGATCAGAAGACACAAGTGATGAGAAGAGGGTGAGAAGGTTTGTGAAATGAGATCTCCTGTAGGAACAGGGAATGTAGAGCACCAAGCATTTGATATGAAATGCAAACACCACTTTGTTATTAATTTTTGAAGGCTGAGATATGTTGGAATATTGAAACGGGCAGCCTACAGGAGAAAGGCTTTCAGCCCTAATCATGAGCAGCAAAATCAGATCTCAGAAACAGAACTTAAAAGGCATTTAATAAACAGTATAGATTTTTGTTACTTGAAAAGTAATAAAAATATTTTAATTTCTTTCAGAGAAAGTTTATAATTTGATTACTTCTACATGAGAAATAAAAGAGTAACAGATGACCTACATGGGTGAAATCCGGATTTCCCTTGACCCTTAGGCAACCCTCACCCAAGTGAAATCTGAGCAGATTCAGGGGCCAGGTTTGCATGCCACGAGTTTATCCATGTGCCAGGGAAACAGGATTTGGTCCCACATGTGACTTGAACTGACATCTGTGGGAGTCCAGTGGTTGGAAGGGCCACAGATGTGAGCCTTTATCTGTGCAGTTTCCACTATGAGATATGCAGGAATACCAGAACACAGGTGTGAATCTGTTCCAGTTTAATCACAGCCATCATTTCCATTGCACTGCTGTAATTTTGGTGGTTCTAGCATCACCTTCCTTCCAAAGGCATCTGATACTATTTCTTTTTGCACAGATAGATGTATATAGGTTCTAATTCACGAACAGACAGTATTAACCAGTTTGTTTAAACAAAACAATCTTTGTAAACCAAAACTAATAGTTTCACTGAAACTAGATCCACATCTGTAGCCATTGACTCCAGTAGGCTTTGGATCAGGCCCTAAAACAGGCATGGGTCAGACCTAGCTAACATACCAGTCTCAGTTCCAGAAACTGTGGAGCATATGGAGACTGAAGTTGCACAGACTTGGTAAATATTTATTACAAAATGGACATCAACTTTTTCAGATCAAATACATTCAGACCAATTTTTCAGATCAAACTCCCTATTTACCTTAGGGAATATATGTGATCATTTGTAACAGTGCCAAAGTACCTTTGATTTTTAAGTCTTCATTTCTAAGTACCTTCATATGTACATTTTGACCATCTGTTTCAGAGTAGTAAAAAATGCAACCGAAAACTTATATTAAAAAATAAAGTTCATTATTGTTACCTAAAAGTAGTCCAATGTTGTAATTTTTCTATGGCAGCATGTTAGGTGCTTTTATACTTTCTTTATCCTGTGCTGTGCATGCTAAGAGATTACAACTAAAAATTGTAATACATTTGTAATTAGCTAAAATGGAGATTTAAAATTCCTCATTAACATAATGGAAATGAATATTAAGTGAAATCCATAGATCTTTTTGTTGTTTAGTTTGAGGGAGAAAAAACCAACCCAAATCCAAACAATGTAGCCCAAAAGAACTGAATATGTTATTATGCACAAGAATAAGCAGTTTGGCTGCTGGGCATTGAAAGAACCTCACAACTATGGACATATCAACAAAAAAGTACTGTCTTTGTGTGCGGTAATAAATCTTTTGTGTGAACATTTCTGCATGAAAAGGGCTCCTGAGCCACTTTGTGTGATGGCCCAGCATGTGAGCTGTATTATGAGCACCCAAATAATTTGCAGGATGTAAATGGTGAAATGGAGTTCTGCTAATCCTCTGGTTTAAACGTGTGTCTACTGGGGTCTCTAATTTACAAATATTTATCTTTTTCTCTGTATCCTTTTTACTAGAATTTAAAAGAAGAAAAAAGCAGTCTGTGTCTGGAGCAGAAAACAACTGCAGGTGAATAAGGCTTGATTGGCTTGATTTAACTTTCCCTGAGATAATCCCAGGGCCTAGGTCCTTAAAGAACATCAAAGAGCAACAAGGAAAAGAAACAGAGAAACAGGATAAGAAAGAAGAATTAGAGAAGAAATGTTTCTGTATAATTTACATTTACAGAAGACAGGCAATATCACTACTTTTTTTTTGGGTGAGAAACTATTCAGTCACACAGGTGATATGAGAAAGCTCAATCCACAGTAGTTTAAACTTCATTCATGAAAAAAGCCAAAATATTTTCTACATTTAAACCAGCCCAATAAATAGACTGTACAAATACATTCCTAAACACTAATTTATGGGATTGTGTGTATGGACAAAATAGTATAAAGTTCACTGTATATATCTAATTTAACAAAGAATAAGCTTACATGATAATTTAGAATCCTCAGTATTAATGACAACATTAAAATTATATGTGATGCCATTTTTAAAAAGATGGGGGCTATAACAATAAAGGGTCATTTAAAAAATATTTCTACTAACCCTTACTACTAATATGTTATCTTTATTTGTCCCAACACAAGACATATATTCTCTAACAGAATGGTTATACCACTGCAACTTGTAAACAAATATCACATAATCAGCTGAGAAGAAACAAGTTTAGATTTAGATTTCGTGCCAGTGAAACTAAGTTTGTAGTGTTGCAGGTGCTAATAGAAGTCTGCAGCCATGGGTCTTTTATGCATATCTTGGTTCTTGTAAGTCACATTTTTAAAAGTGGTTGTTGAGCCTCTGTACAGTGGATTTGTTTCCTAAAAAAAAAAAAAAAACAAAAAAAAACAAAAAACAAAACCAAAACAAACAAAAAAACCCAAACAAAAAGAGATTAAATGGGAGTCACAGAATATTTGTATAGAAGTAGTGTATCTTTGAGGACTTCAGAATATCTTCTGGTAGCTCAGTTGTGTTTCAAGCCACTGAAATCCAGACTGATCTGAATTCAGACAGCACAACCCATCCTGGGCTCAGGAACATGCTTCCCTTCAGATCAGCCTCCCAGATTGAAGTCATGCACATCACCAAACAATATCTCATCAAATGTGTCCCATAAAATTTGTGTATCAAATCTGGCAGTTAGACCTTTATAAAACCACAGAGTGTCTCAGCAGTCAGATGTGACTTGTCATTGTCCTCTTGTCACATACAGTACCTACTGTGTGCTGGGAGAAGGGCAAGTCCCACCTGAGCTTTTCATCCTGGCCTCTCACCAATCACTTCCTATCCTTTCCTCTTGTGACAGAAAATAAAATTAAAATGCTTCTATCAACTGTATCCTTCCCTTCCATCTTACCATACCTAGCTCTTCTGAAGCATCAAGAAAACATTCTCAGGTGGCCTTGCCTCTAAGTTAGTGATTTTCCCCAGGTCAAAAGCTGAAAGGCTGACAGTGCCTATTCTTGGAAAAAGTTGCAATCACAGGACTTTGAGGAGAGTGGAGCCATGTGAGCACATTGTCTGTCCTCCTGACACCCGCCAGAAATGCTTACTCAACAAGCTTTTTTCGAAAAGATCCTCAGAAGCCCTAAAGCTTTTGCAAAAGGGCAAAAAAGTCAAGGGCAGAAAAGAAAGAAGAAAAGGGAACATGTGGTGCAAGCTTACTTTAGGTGCCCAGAGTTACAGATAGAAAAGGAGGCTTGGATTTCTCTGTCCTTTCCCCTGCATTTGGGACAGTTCCATTCACTTCTGCTCGGTGGGAGTGGGCTTGGGTCATGACAGAGGCTAGGAACAACCTCCCTTTCCTAAACAGCTCTAAACAGGCAGAGGGCTACACCTTGGATGATCACACAGGCAGACAAGAGCATTGGTAGGACTATTGGAAGACTGGCTACTAATTAAAAACTCTTAATAAAAAACCAGTTATCTACACATTCTTACATGTGGAAGAAATTAAACCAGGAGATGAAACACTAGATAATTTTCATCCATTAAAGGATCATTATTTTACTTTATAGAATAGTAAATGTGTCAAAAACCTACCAGCAAGACCTATCCGTTTAAAAGAACAAAATAAAGACCCAGAATTTTAAAGGCAGTTGTGCATCATGCAATCAAAATAAAGAACCTTGTACAAAATCAATGTATTTCACATACCGTTTGCCATTTAACTTTTGATTTTTCTGCTTCAAACTTGGCCACCTCTTTTCGGTCTTGAAGTGACACCAGTAATTTCCATATACAAAGTAAAACAATGCCAATGAGAAGGATAGCAAGGGTGACACCCACCACTATCATTGGGATATTTGGGTGCTGTGCACAATCTGTGGAAACAAAAACAGTTATGACTGTGAATAACTAATTAATAAATTTTAGGCAATTAAAAACAGTCAAGAAATGTGCTGAGATTCTCATTTGCCATGAGCTGGGCACAACTTTTTCTTCAAGTTCATTATTTTTCTCCTGTTAGCATGCTAAAGGGTTTGTGAAACCAGCTGAAAAATATTGCATTAAAATGTTTTTAAAATTATTTCCTAAATTATTCCACTGCTCTTTTACCATGACAATTAGCAGCTGCTTGCTGAATATTGACACAGATTCTGAAGAGAAAAGTCAGAAAATTGATTTCAGATCTGTTTCAATATAAAAAACAGGGCTGAGTTGACAAAATTATCAATTTTACAATGTTATGGCTGGACTCTATTTCAATTAACTGATATTCAGTGTGTTGCAGAAGAAAATAATTCTAGTGAGATCTATGTCAGGGTAAAGTCAGCAAAGATATTGAGAAATTAGAGGAAACTGCATTTCTCTCATGAAAACAATGAGGAAAAAATTCCTTCAGATTTGTTGAAAATGTTGGACTGCACAACTGGAAGGAATTTTGCATTTCAAATTCTGCAATAAATTTTACAATAAAATATTTCAGAAGGTTAGAATTAAAACTGAAATTTTTGCTTCACCAAAACCCAAAGAAGTTTGAATTTTTTAATATTAGAAAGTACTGTCTATGAAAGTTGGTGAACACTACTATTTTACAAAATTTTTTCCTGAACCATGTTTTCAGAACATTAAAAAAATTCATTCCAGTCTGGCTTGTCTTACATGATTGCATTTCACATTCTGTTTTTGCTTGATGGCCTCAGTTAACTAATTCTGAGGGGCTCTGTTTTGAGCCCTGGGCTGTTGTTCTGGCTACTGGTGCCATATTGACTTCTGTTCCCAGTTCACATTTCAAGGTCCAGGAGCAGAACAGCAGATGACAGTGAAACTGGTTATTGTAGTGTTGTGGGAATGCCATTACACAGAGGTCAATGAACTCACAGAGGTCAGTGAAAAGAAGATATTTCTTGTTCTTTTTTTTTTTTTTTTTTTGTCAAATCTACTTAAAATGCATAATAAAGATAAATTTATTTAATAAAGATAAAATCTTACCTTTAAATGCTTGAATCTTAGGGATTTAGGGATGTAGTTTAAGAGGTGTGCTTCTTTAGTACAACCTTGGTTACAAGCACCTTTGCATATATAATTTCAAAGTGAGTTATAGATTTATCACATAATGCAAATGATGTTTGGTATCATCCTCTTAGACTTCACAAGCTATGGAAAAAATTAACTTATTCTTACAGCCCAAGGATCATTCTGCTCATTTTTCATGAAAGACCAAGTATTTATGTCACCACTGCATTAAATAAATGCTTGAGGAGCTCTTTGGCTGAGCAGAGAAGAGCTACAAACACAAGGAGGAGATGTTCTGCTTCAAAGAGCTCTGCTTCTAGATTGCTAACCTTGTCTGTGGTTTTAAATCAGATTTCACCTACAAAAACCAATATTCACTGCTTACCTTTCCGTTCTATGTTGTGAATGACTGTCCTTCCCTGTTCATCCACAGCCAGTAGAAATGTGGTTATACATTCATTTTCCCCCTGCAAAGAGCAGGAAATGGATTTATCCTCTGAATAATCTGCAGAGGAAAGGAAAATAGTAATTCATCAGCTCAAATGAAATTTAACCTTTAATAACCAGAGAGACTGCTGGCAGCATGTTTGTCACAGCCTTGTCTGCAGATGGTGAAGAGTGAAAGACAAAGCAGAAATACTGTCAGAATTTCTACTAAATTTAATGGATTTTCTTCCAATCCCAATTTTATTTAGTTTCTGATTTTTCACATATATTTCCAAAGAACTGATCCAGATGTTGTCAATCTGCACTGACCATCTAGTGCACCTTGTTACTTTAGTGTCCTGTGAATTTCAATGAATTGGAAAGGCTCCCAAAACTCTTAACTGGCAGCTGTCCAGGAAATGTAATAGCCCCAAATTATGGGACAAAGTAACCAGTGGAACAAAGTATGTTCCTTTGGTTTGCAGCTCCTCCTGCCACCTGTGGATCATGTTTCAGAGCAGACATACATACATCAAGCAGCTGTGGGTGCTGTTAAAAGGGCTGCCATTCATTTCCTACACATCAGGCCCCTCAAAGGTCACTGTGTGTCCAGCACTGTTACAAGAGTAACAGTAAATAAAGATTAACCACAGAATAATAAAGATTAATAACAGAATCTGAGATTTTTGTAACGGGATTCTGGATGAAGCAAACAAAGTGACCTGAGATGGCAGTCTGACCCCATTTATTCATCCCTCCATTTACTGTTGATTGCACAAAAATCTAATCCATTTTTTCCTTCCAGGTTATTCCTAACTGGGGAGCTGAGAAAAACTCATTCAAAGGGAACAGAAAGACAGAAGGAAGCTGACTTTGATGGACAATATAAAGCAAATAAGCAATCAAAAAGTGAGAGTACAAGTGCAGAGCCAGAAATGTCATCATTTGGAGTGTAACTTTAATATAACATTTTACAGAGGAAAAAATACTCTATACCTGTGTGCAATAATACCTCTGGGGCTAAACGTTTATATGTTCATATAGTCCATGATTTGAGATGTCACTGAAAATCTAGGTATGCTTTTCAATATCTTTTAGTCAAACTTCATAGGTTTATTTTTAGAAGAAGGAAAAACAGTAGGCTTCTCAAATATTTCTTTAAAATAATTGTCACTGACCATTATTTTCTACCCATTCAAAACTCTTAATGAAATTTCATAAGCAATTGTGCTAAAAATCTTAAAGTCCTCAGACTTTAATATGAAGAGTAATTGAATAGAAATCAGACAAGAATAGAGCATTTTACTACATTAAAATTTTACTACTAATTTACTACATTAAAAAAATGCTTGCTCTAGTTTTTCTTCACCATATTGCTTATTATCATAAGATTTGGTCTTACAGAAAATACTATTAAACACCATAGAAAAGATGGAACTATTGACTACCCTCCAGTCCTTTTCTCTGCTTGTTATAAAGAGAGAACCCTAGCTGGTTGGATTTTAATGGAAACCTGTTCTTGATTTGAGCCTTGTATTTAACCTGCTCCTGGCCCTTGCTGACAGCACCTTGTGTTATCTACCAAGGGGACAGGCAGCCTAGACCTGCTGATTTAACAAGATCTGATTTTGTTAGAAGAGCCATGAACTGCAGACTTATGGCTCTTGCTGGCATGTCACAGTTCCAGTAACACTGTCAAAAGTTTTGCAATGTTTGTACTTTCCCAACTCTTTTAAGCAAGCAGACTCAAAATACTAGCTTGCTTAGCAAGAGGGAAAAAAAGTGGGCAAGGATAGTTGTTAGCTATCCTGAAATTGGAGAAAAACTTGCAAGCATATACCAAATATAATTTACAAGGCAGTAACTGTACATAGATTAGTTATTTTTACATGGTAATTTTTTGTTTAATGTCATAATTTGAAAGCAAGGGGAGCAGAATACTGATTATGTGCAATGATGTAGAAATGAAAGCAAAAATGCCAGTTCAAGCTATTCAGAATCCAGCTTATGGTCAGCATTTTTATTTCTCTGATATTATTTTTAGAATGAGGGATCACTAAAGAGAGACCATTGCATATGTTATTTGCAGTTCATCAGCATAAAAATTTGCCTAGGTAGGTAAACTCCTATAATTTACATCTGTGTAATCTTCTGCATTCTGCAGTGAATTGTCACACTCTTCTGCAGCCTAATTCTGGTGATTTAAATTGTATTTGAAATAACTGGAGTCACACTGGAGGAGAAATCGGGTAACAGTGGCAAGCAGGAGACTCAAAGCATGAAAGACTGTTTCACAGCAGATACATTTATAAAAGATTCAACACCAAAAATGTTGACTGCAAATTTAAATGTCATTAAGGCCTTTTGTGTTTGCCTTTTGCTCAACAAAATGCTTTTTTTGAGCAGAGTTCACCTCACTCTGACTCATAACAGAGCAGTGCTGACGTAGAGGTTTATTCAGCCTCCACTTTGCTGCTGCATTGGGAATTTGTGAGGTGTCAGCACTATGGGGTAGGAAAAACTTAGGTTCTCTAAGGAAAGTATAACTGTCCCTGCTCTGCTGGGCTTGTGGCAGGAGCTCTGCTGGTGCCCTGTGGCTGGGTGCTGGAAGGAGATGCCTTTTAGGAGTTTTGGTGCCTGTTGTGTAGTGAGTAGAGCAACAAGAGCTCCTCGTACACCTGTGTGGCAAATGGGTGATTAACCTAACTGAAATGTTCAAGTATTAAAAGTGAATGAAAATAGAAGTTTGGAAGTGGTGCCTGCTCTGGAGATCAGCCCAGCAGATGTGAAGCCACCAGCACCTGCAGAGCTGCTGGGCACCCCATGCCCTGGCAGAGCCCTGGGCTGACCTCACCTGCTGGTGGGGAGCAGGAGAAGAAACCCCTGGAAAACCCAGAACCAAAGCAGGGAGGTGAAAGGCACGAGTCACAGCCTAAAATGGGCTCTCCCAGGAAGCAGGAAAATGTAAAGCCCACGCTTTTTTTGTTGCTTCACACTTCCAGTCATTGTGTTGCAACATCCATGTGCAAAAGAGAAACAAAATTTTTGAAGTGCTAATGCTTTGTTTAACCTCGAGCTTTTACTTTTTTCTCTCCCCAAAAGACTTGAAACATTAAAGAAACTAAAACATAAACCAGAAAGAAGTATACTGCCCCATTAAGTTGCTCAATAATCTGTCTTAAATATTATGTAATGTGCTAGTTTTACCACTTTCAGATTGGTGGGTTTTGTTCAGATAATAGTTTTTATTCTATGATTATATTTTAGCTATTATTTTAAAGGTTGATTTTTTTTCTTTCAGGACTTCTTGATGAGGCTACCCAAGCATTTCAGATGAAACTGTTTAAACTGTTTGCAACAGCTGCTTCTTTTTTCTTCTTTTTTTTTTTTTTTTTTGAGGCATCTGGATGGGAGCATGAAGGTTGCAGTAACTGCTGTAAATAAATTTTGAATCTAAAGAAGTAGCTGACAGTCTCAATCAAGGAAGCACAAGACATGAAAACAAGAAAATATGCTGGAATAGCAGATTATATTGTCATGGTCATATTCCTGTGACCTCTATATGTGAACAGAACCATATAAAAGGCTGATCCTGCTGTTGATTAGCATTCATTATATTTAAAAGTATAATGTTTTTCATATTCCTAGCTACAAATATCTTCCATCTTACAAAAGCAATCTGAAGACTTTACTAACTGAAGACATACAATACAAGTGCTTATATGTCTTTTAAGCCTGTAAAGATATTTTTATATTTATAAATATACACTGAAATATTTCCATCAAAAACAAAAGGTGTGACCTTGCTGGAAAGATGCACACCAGTGACATTACTGCATGCACACAGCTCTGGATAGGCTGCCAAGAGCTTGCAGATACAAACCTTAGACATGCCCACATGAATGAATGAGGACTCATCTTCATTCTTACATTTATCTTGTTTAATGCTTATGGTACATCTGTGATGTGGACATAAGTAGCCTATGTCCTGCCATACTTAACAATTTCTTGTACCATAGGGTTGGGACTAGAATTGCCACTGGAATAAATACAGGTTGCCTGCTGAACCAGCACCTTCCTTTACAGAAAAGAAATTGCACTTTTTTATTTAAAGGTTTATTTTGGTTTTTTTTGGTTGTGGTGGGGTTTGTTGGGTTGTTCCCTAATAGTACTATTTTACTCAAGATTAATTCCTATTCCAGAAATTTCCATTGATGCAGGGCACTTTTGAATTAAAGCAAACAGCTGAAATATGTTCCTGGCCTTTTAGAATACAAGAAATGTTTTTGCCACAGGTTAAAGGGCTGTGTTTAGTCACCAGGAATCTGTCTAAGGACTGGAGTCAGGTTTTGTATTTGTAAGGCTGAAGAAGCCCGGCTGGAACTCATGGTACAGGCATAACAAACTCAGGAACTTTCATCTATCACTGATATGCAGGGACTGGTATCTATTAAATTCTACACTTTCCTGCATAAACTACTTAGAAAATAGGCATGATCCAATGAGTTAATTACCTCGAAGGTTTATGCCAGCCCTGTTCTGCTTTCCTACTTGCCTCAGAAGAGCCATAGACAGACAGTAATTCCCTTATGACCCATAATATAATTCCACTGCAGAAAAACAAGGCTACTTTCAAATATAAAATTACTGGAAGTGGAACCTGCTGTTAATCACACACCCACAAGAAAGGAAGATTGAGTATACCAACCCTTTGCCATGCTGACAGTTGCATCAACCAATTTGCATTTTTCACTGCAATCTCCCAGTGACTTGTCATCAGAAGCCAAGTGACATTCCACACAGCTCCTGTGGAAAATAATTCAGCAGCTCATCAATCTCTGCCTGCCACAAAGCAACAATACAAAAGCCAGCATGTGTGCATCTGCATTTTAAAAAGCAGCTAAATAAAAGGTCTTCTGCTATGGATACAGTTCTCAGGAATATGATAGGTACTGCCACCAAAAAAAATCCTAACAAAACCAAAGGGGAAAAAAAAAAAAACCACCTGAATAAAGGTATTGTAGATAAGCTCTGTCTTGTCCTCTATTCTCTCCCAGTTTGTTAGCTACCAGACAGAACCCCAGGCAACATTATTCATGTAGGTCTATCAGACATGCGGTTACTCACATGTAACATTCCTCTTCAAAAATTTTAAAAAAATTATTCTGAACAGTAAATATTCTCACACTAAATACCAGCCGAAGGAATTCCTATCAGATGAACAATATCTGAAATTGACTTCAAAGAGATCAAGCTCAGGCGCCTACTATGAGTTTGCCTTTGTTGCAAATCTATTGAATAATGCATTAAAACACTTTCCAGGTGTCTAAACAGTTGTCTCTTGAATATGTTTACTTGTCTCAGGAATTACTTAGATCCTATTCATACTAATGAAAATTACAGGAAAATTATTTTTTATTCAGTGGTGGAAATGATTGAAATACTATTTAAAAGCAGAATCTCTCTGTAAATTTAATGAGGATTTCAATAAATCCAGGGTCTATTAATGGAAAATAAAACAACAGACCCAATTCATATATGAACATTTCTGATGGAAAATATGTTTTCTAATTTTTCACAAATAGCTTCAGCCAAATTGAGTGGCTGAGACTCTGAGAAGCAGCCTGAAGGACTGACTTCATTAAAAAAAAAAGAGAAAAAAAGGAGAGAAGAAGAGAGGAGAGAAGAGAAGAGGAAAAAGGAGAACTGCAACAAAACATAAAAAAACCCTGGCTATCTCCTGTTGCATTGAGTTACATATATTCATGGGAATAAGCTGAGGCTGCTGAGTTTATCATCAGGGGATGGAGGTGACCTTATCCCTCACTCTGGAAATGGTGAATAGTAAAAGTGAGTGGGTAATGGGATAGCCTCTATCTCATGGAGATAAATACTGTATTGGTGGTGGTTTTGTCATATTCACCATGTTTCTCATGCTACACTCTCTTTCTCAGCTGCCTTGCCATTGATCTCCACCCCCTCTGACCTGGTCTTTCAGCTCTCTCAGTTACCCTCCCAGGTACTCCCAGGGTTTTCTCTCTCTTGGCTTTTTGTGCCCTGTGTTTCAGCATGGGAAGACACTGAAACAGAAAGAAAAGATTCAACACTGCATACAAAATACATGTTTAAATGGGTTAATGTAATGCCTATCATGTAACTTTATATTTCTTATTCTTTGACAAATTGGGCAGAGCAAAGCAGCAGCATTGTCCTTTTTGTTTAGAGCAGTTGCATGCAGAAATTCTCTTTGAACATACTGAAAGGCTCAGTTTTCTTAAGGCAAATTTAGCACTAAAAGGAAGAGATCGATGAATTAATCATGTCATAGAATAGCTTTTCACTCAGATACACTGCAGAGTGCAGTGACAGGTATGAAAATACAGTGTTGGTGAGAAATGGGTCTCAACTCTGAATAAGAAGACAGGAAATCATCATGAACCATGCAGCCTAAACTGCTCAGTACTTAGAAAGCAAAGCCAGGGTCATTAATAACATGTGTTCTGTGAAGTCTAATCCAACTTCTAGCTTAAATTTCTGCTGAAGACTGCTCCATTTGGACTGTAGCCCTACAAGAGCTCATGCAATACAAGCACAAGCAATGGTGTACTTAGAGTGGTCATCTTGACAACCTGAGTGTTTTTGGTTGCTTTTCCTGTCATGCACCATAGCAGACACCTTGCATCACAGCAGGAAAGCTGCATAAATTGAGGATGTTCAGTGGACGGAAGACATTTCACCATTTACAATCAATTTATCATCAACCTATACATGACATACAGCTACCCACTTATTAATTCCCAGACTATTATCTAGTTTGTTATCCTTACACTTTTTTAATTTTGCCAAGCTTAACTGAATTTGGACTATGAATTTGTGAATGTGTGAAGCCTGAGTGGACAACATGACCTTATTCATATGTATGAGAATGGTAATACAAATGCCATATTTTTCTGTGAGGCCATATAGGTGTCAGATAAGGCCACCATTCTGATTAGTTGTACAGCCAGGGACAGCAGTGGAAGTGTAAAGTTTTACCCGTGCTTCTTGAACTTGACTTAATTGTTTCACATAAAGTCCTTTTGTACAAGAGCAATGCTCATGAATGGTTGATATATGATTGTGATTACCCACCTCAAAGGACAAAGAAGGTCTTGGGTTCTGGTCTGTAAATCCAGTTTACAGACATGGCAGTAAACACACTGCTGAGGCACTATAGGAAATAGATACCTGGGTGATATAAACATCAGAGGTTTAAAGCCACCACATTACCATCTGGAACTGCAGGGGTCACCGCAGAGAGGGCATTTTTCACACGTTTGGCCCGAAGTCCCCGGATGGGTGCAAGCACACGTCCCGCAGATGCATTCACCTCTCCCACTGCACAGTGTCCCATCCTCAGCAATGCAGCTGCTGGTATCAGTTGTGCAATTACAGTATTCACCAGTCCATCCGCTGTGGCACCTGCATTCCCCACAGTCACAGTCACCATTGCCTGGAAAAACATTTGTTAGACTTCAAATCAGTCACTGATAATTCAAAAAGAATATGAAGGATGAGCTTTAAAATTATTCTCTTTAACAGAAAATATTTTACTCTCTCCAACTCTTCTTCCTAACAGCTTTCTTTTTCTCCCAGAATCTTCAGTTTTAAGTCAGAAGATCAGATTTTTGCTTATCCCGGCTGTAAGCCAGTGCAGCTCCATTCTCCTTACTGGAGCCCTCCATGCAGATCTTGTCTCCTGGCAGCGCACGCCCTAATTTGTAAATACTTCTGATTTATCATGGCTAATTTAAGTCGCAAGGCCATTCATAACTAGCAATTCTTTATACGGAATTGATTGCGACCGAAACGCTGAAAATACAAACGGAAAAATACATGATGAGAATACAAATTCCCAAGCTCCCAGCCCACAAAGCCCTGAGAGGGGCAGCGGCGGCGGCAGCAGCGCTGAGGGCCGTACCTGCGCACTGCAGGCCGCGGTGCCTGACGCAGGAGAAGTCGTTGCACTCGCAGCGGGGCCCGTAGACCTTTCCGTAGGGGGACGGGTGGCACAGGCACTGCCCGCAGTAGCAGTCGCCTCTCCCGCTGCAGGAGCTCTGCTCGGCCGGGCCCCTGCAGGAGCTGGCACCGAGGGAGCTCTCGTGGCACTCGCAGCGCGGCCCCACGTAGCCGGGGCTGCACACGCACACCCCGCACTCCAGGGAGCCTTTCCCTTGGCTGCACTTCGGGCTCTTCTTCTCGGCCTTGGCCTGGCAGTCGCAGCTGCAGAGGGGGAGAATTTCCATCTCCAGCACGTCGCTGAGCCCCACGGGTTTTATCTTGATAAGCCTTCTGGTTTTTTCACAAGAAGAGAGACTAACGGTCACATTGAAAGAGACCTGGAAGAGAGAACAGGGCTGCTGTGAGCACAGGGAACTCTGCAGGGTGCTCAGGAAGTGCATGCAGAGGACAGAGCAAGAAGGTCATAGATATTGCCTGCTTTTTGGTGACTTGTCTGGGGGAAGATCGTTTAATAAAGAGCAAACTCTACCCTGGTGTCCTAAATTATATGAACTTCATGTCTTTGGAGAATTTCTTCACTTACTGTATCTCCCACTTTCACATGAGAGCATTTCCTCTGGTGTGGAAAAAAGGTCCCATTGTTACAGATGGCCGCGAAGGAGAGATTGAGCCCTTCCGTCTCTCCCAGGATCTCCAATTCAACCTCAGACCTCAGCTCCTTCAAGGAAAAAAATGTGAGATGAATAGACTGATAACACTGGATGTGCTGCCACTGCTCCGCATCTGAAGAATGTGGTCTGTAATTTATCCTGACTTACACAGGAGCACACTCGTGCTTTGGCTCTTTGCTTACAGAGCGCTCTATTGCCAGAAAAATGGGGAACGAGCAAAATAAAGCAAATGCTGACAGGCCCAGCTTTAAGTGGAAAGCAGTGCTGGTATCACTTTAATATCTGCTATCACAGGGCTTATTTCCTGCCCTTCCAGGAGAACAAATTCAATGTTTTATTAAATCACCTTTCATAACTCTGCTGACTGATTTTAGGTCTGGACTTTCTGAGGAGTGGATTTGTGTCCTGATTGCATTGCTAGGTCTGGGCTTTTCCTGATTAGCCAAACTGTCTCAATATTGCTCCCTCCCTTCCTTTCTTCTCACAATGGAAATTCCTGCTTCATGAGCTGTTTGTGCTATTTTAACCTGTATTCAACAACATCCCCATTATTTAAATCAATTTGTGCATCAAACTTCCATTTTGTGAGTCACAAACTCTTTCTGAAATCACTTATACTAGGTATCTACATTTTAAGTCTTTAAAATATTTTATGGCAACTTTGCTTACACAACCTTAATCCAAAGCCTATCACAGGCCATGGGGAAATTCCCTATGACTTCATTAGTCTGTGGATCCAGTAAATGGAATTTTTTCAAAAGTACCTCGGCAACTGCTGAGAAAACATCTCACTGAATTGACTTTGTGCTCATAGAAGTTTAATTGCTTGCCAAATACCCCCTGCCCTTCAATCAGAGCACAGAGAACTTGCTGACCTTACTTCAGTGAGTCATTCTACTCAAGGTAGAAGGATGACTCAATGGAGTAAAGGTCTGGTGGGGTAAATTAAAGTGAAAATAGAATAGGTATAAACCTGCATAGACAACTCCCTGTCCTACGTACATGTTCTGGATTCCTAGGAAATTTGTCTTAGGGTTGTAAAATTGTGCCCTGGGCATCAGGTTTGTAATGCTGGTAAATTTGGATATGTCCAAATTTCAATTTCCCTTTGATTGGAGGTAGGTGCTTGTGTCGCTATTGAAACAATGCAGAGTTGTCAATAATAATTTGTTTGTCATAGCTGGGCTCTCCCAAAAGGACCCAAACCAGCAAATCCCTAGGTAAAGCTATGACTGTGGGCATGTGCTTGTGTTGCAATATGTATCACCAGTAGTCCCTCTCCACTAGCTGCAAAATTACAAGATGCAAACAGAGTGCAACTATGAGAGAAAACTAAATGCTGCTGAACACCAAATTGTAATACTTTGAATTCTGGAATCTGTATTTGGTCATTTGAATGTGTCTTGCTGTTGTGAGAGATCAAATTATTCATCTTACAGTGCTGAAAGTGAACACAAACAGTAATAAATTCAAGGTTTTTAATCCTAATATATGTGAGTATTTCTAATCATTTTTTAAAACTACTAAGCTGTCTGGCCATAGCAGCTTTAATCAATTCACAGAGAACCTGTGGTTCAAAAATTTTTCTGAATGGAACAACAGACAAAGAAGTGCTAAATACTTGTGCCCTTCTGTTACCTGTCCTTTCTAACACCTTATTTCTTTGTTCACATTTTTGTGTAAGTGCAGGGACTAAAAACTGGGGGGAAAAGGGGAATTTTTCTGAAATTTTAAGTTCTTGGAATGGCTTTAATCAAACTGCCTGCTATCTGCCACACAGCATTTTAGCCTACAGCTCTGCAACATGAAGTTGTGCAGAATTCAATGCTAAACAAAGCAGGCAGAAATATGCTTACAGAAGAAAATAAACCATACTTGGAAAGAACATGAGAACTCCTTTCAACAAATATTTTGACAGCTCAGACTTTCTTAACTTGCTTACTTCCTCTCTGAAGCTTTTATATGGCAACACATGGTGAATGGCATTAGCAAACCTTGTGTTTGCACAGCAAGTAAACACTCAAGAAGACTTTAAAAGTGTTAAAAGATTTAGCTTAACTCTATTCCCAGGGGGCAAAAAGTTATTTATTTCTTTTCTTGTGAGTGAAGAAGCAGAGACACAGGACATTGAATTGCACTTCTGAGAGTATAATGAAAAGTTTCTAACAAAAGTAGTATTAGTTCTGCTTTGCATGTGATTTTCAACTGTAGGTCTCCTGTCATTTCCTTCTTCACAGTTGAAAAAAATTCAGATACCTTCACTCCTGTCAAATAAAGGGGTATTTAGTGCTTCCTGCTTGGAAGATTTTTCAATCACAAAACAATAAGATTGTTAACCTTTAAGGTTAAGTGTAATAAAATGGACTTTGGGAAATTTTGAGTGTGACATGTCGCTGCTTGCACACTTCTTACATCTAGAAAGAAATGTGGGATTTTAAGAACGTGCGTGCAGCCCTGCACCCTATCTGGTGCGTGGTCCAGACATGCTGTGCCCGGATGAGGTTGTGACAAGTTATGGCCCAAAGGCAGGAGCAGCCTTCCTGCAGCCACCTCCCTGCCACTGCTGCAGGGCTCGGAGCTCCTCCAGCCCGTGCCCGTGGAGCAGACGGGAACAGGATCAGCCCAAACTGCTCGGGAGCTGCATCGTGGTGCCAACTCTGCTCAAAGCATGCAGCAGCTAAAGAGCCAACAGAGCCAGGAGGCTGGGGACAAGGCAGAGGACATAACTGTGCCTTTGTATAAACCCCAGTGTGCCCTCGCTGTGTACTGCAAGCTCTTGTGGGCTGCACATCTCATGAGGCACTCATGAGAGTCAGGGAGGGTAAACAGATGGTCAGATAAAGTTACCAAGGGGATGGAGCAGCCGAGGAGAGACTTAAAGGACTGGGAGTCTAATTTGGAGAGAAGGTTGGTGTGTGGAAGGTGTCTCAGTGACACAATGTAAGGAAATAATGAAAACACAAAGATAAGGTGAATGCAGAGCTGTTATTCACCAAACCCTACAACTCGGGAGCTAGGGTGTACTCAGTGAAAATTTAAAGCATTAGAAGTAGGTTAAAATAGGAATAAGAAAATTGTGCCTTGAGACAGTGGAACTGAACCCCTCCTTGTCATAGGAGGCAACAGAAGCCAAAAATATCAGCAGGCTCAAAAAGGAGAATAGGGAAAAAATCACATGCCATAGGAACATAAGCAGATGCTAAGGAGAAGAGGCAAGGATTCACGCCTCACATTTTCAATATTCCAGTGAGGCAACTTATGTTACAGCAAAAACACCAGGACACCACACTGGGACAATTTTTGTGTGTTTTTTTCCATTACTTACTGACAACAAAATGATATTTCAGCTATTAAATGTAGGAACCTGTGTCTATACGTTAGACTGCCAGCTTGAAAAAATGCTGATAGGAACCAGATGTGACCAGGAGCAGGTTGGAATCCAGAAGTGAAATTCCATTGCCACTCAAAGTTGAGCAATAACTTTGCTCATAAGAAAATTTCCTCATCTTTATTTATTAAAATCTGTAGACTTGTAAGATTAACCCTGAAGTTCTCTCCTTATAATTTTTCATAAAATGGAGAAATTCCTGATATTTTGCATTTCATTTTAAAAAGTCGTAATTCATAAATTGCATTGCCTTCATTGCTTTTATAAGAGTTAGAACAATTTGGTTTCCTTCTTATCACTAAGACCAAAGTAATTTTGGTACAATGATGACTATCTTATTCAGGTGATAGAAAGAAGAGCAGAAAAAAAAGGAAGGAAATAAACAGAAGCTATTTGCAAAGGGTTATTTGTCATTGTAGACAACTGGTAGAGCAGGTTTTTAACAAAAATGGGCTGAGACAGAACAGAGAAATCTATGGCATATCACCATATTTGTAAATAGATGTATCTGTGCAAAGATCTGTACAACTGCCTAAAACCATTTCTCTGACAGAACAGAACTAGGCACCCAGGATGCATTTTACAAACAAAGCTCTGAAGAGCAGTGCTGTATTTATATTCCTGACACATAATTAAAGTATTTCTTTGTATTACTTAAACAAACCCTTGTTGCTCCCATATTCTCTTTCTGAAAACCTCAGATCAGCCTCACAGAGGCAGCATCAATTTGCTAAAACAGAGGAGAGCACTGAGCACAGAATAGTGGGTTTTTTCCCCAGAGATTCCTGCAAAGAAATTGTTTGTCTGCTCTGGTGGCAGCTACCAACAGGGAGAGACTTGAGTCCCTGTTGAGATGTGGAACTGAGAGACCTGAATATTAAAGAAGGCTTAAAACTAGGTGTAAGATACAAGATTATGACAAAGGCGATGCAGATGACTCACTGATTTAAATTCAGCATTCCAGCAGAAAGGATTGACAGAAGGTTATAGGAATTTTTTTTCTGTGCTTACTTAATCCTCAGAGTGAACACTTTTCCTGTTAAGGTCAACACCTAACATAAAAAATTATGTAATCATTCAGTTTCATAAAAGGAATCAGTTCAAAAAGGGAATCAAAGACACATTTTTTACCAAACTGCAAACCAAAGTCAAACATGTAAATATGAAGGAAGAAGCTGCATTGTACCCATCTTACCTGATATGCAGCAATGATCAACTGGAGAATATTTCCAGAATCCTTCTGTAGTCGTCCAACGGTAGCACCAGGAATAAGCTTTGCATAATTCTGGAAATATAAAAGATTAATTTAAAGCACAACAAAAGTCTAGGTGCCAAGGAGATACCATCTAAAAAAACCACAAACCCAAAGAAAGAAAAAACAAAAAAAAAACGCCCCAAAAACACCAAACAAACAAAAAGCCCTCCGAACAAAACAAAAAATCCAAAACAAAAATGAAGGAGCTGACAAGAAAACCAAGTAAACTGAAGCCAAGTGAAATAAATAACAGTAATATTTTCAAGGATTCTTGCAATCTCCATTGCACATGTCTTAATGAAAAAGTCAGATGGAGAAGAGCTGGTTTCATTTAAAATTCATTGAAGATATATTGTTAAATCACCTCTATGTGATTGGAAGTTCGATACTATAGTATCCTTCAAGCGCTAATTTTTCAAATTTAGAGGGAAGATATGTTTTATCAACAGTGGTATTTCTCTTTAACAAAAATATCCAGAAACAGATTCAGCTCCTCTACTGTCGTTGCACTGCTCAAGAGTCTTGGACCCTACATTCAGCAGCTGCAGTCACTTTTTTATCTTTGCACATGTATCTCAGTGCTCTGTGGCTCTGATGGATTGTATGTTGAATTTCTGTGAATAATACAGTACCAATTTAGCAATTTATTTCAGTGATAAGTCGTCTTTTGTTTTTGCATTAAATTGCACTGTGACACTAACATGTTATCTGACAGCTAGATTTTAAATACTGTGAATTAAAATTTTCTTACCTAATTGTTAACTATGTGAACTTCCCTTGCTTTAACCCATGCCTTTGGAAAACAATGTGTTCATCTTTTAAAAAAAAAAGCATTGTAGCACTAGTTTTCCTTTACACATTTTCATATCAATGCTGTTATTTTAAATAAAAGGAAAATATCCAAAGTACTATTAATAAACATGGGTAATTTGATACTCTTATATCCTTCTTATCCTTCATATCTCCAAAAGCTCTGTGATTATTTTATGTATTATGTATGGAATAGTTATCATTCATTAGATTTCTGGTGCTATTGTAAATCAGTGGGATTAACTGCATTTTATGTTACAGCTGGCGACTTTGCATTCCTGACTCCTCCTGTGATTAGTGCCCTCTCAAGTATTCTTGGAATATTGAAACTCTGTGTTTGGTACATGTGGACCTTCTGAGAGAAAGCTGGGATTTAAAATACAGTCCCCTTTAATCTGTGGTATGCAAAACAAACAGCAGGGATATGCTGCTCTGAACACTTTGGTTGATCTCTCCTCTAGGAACAAAAATTTTCTGCATGGTGATACAAGGATGGTGTTTCAAGCCCAGGCCAAGTGTGTGTCTCCAGGCCATTGGTTAAACCTCACTTCTTGCAAATATTTCTGTTCAACCATTGCCAAGATGAGGCAGACAGATGCTTTTGGGGTGCTGCTATTGCAAAACATCCAAAGGATATGATGGAATTTAGTCCTTCAGCAAATATTCATTAAAAGGTGAACGGCCATTTTATAGGGGTACTCTGATTCATGTAAAAGAAATTTGACAATTATATATTTGAGCTCAGTGGGGTTATGTCTATATTTTAGCAGTGTAAATGATAGAAGAATTTTCATCATAAATAGCATGCCACGCCAAACATATTAAAATAATTTGAAATTCTGTATGAGTGTGGAGACTAAAGTATCCTTAGTTCAATTTTCAGTAGTGCAATACAGCCTGAAACCCTAATTTTCAAGGTATTTCTCCTGTGATATAAAAAAGAAATAATTAATCCAAAAAAGAGTAATTTTTGTTTCAAAAAAGTGCTGCTTAGTCAGGACTAAAGATGGAATCTTTCCCATATCTAAGTTTGAATACATTTTTAAAGAATTTTGCTTGAAAACAAATAGTATCAGCAGTAGTTGCAACTACTTCATGAAAGCTTAAAGACCAGTGTTTTCTTTTGTACCAAAGTAAGCTTTGTTAAAATATAATTATTATTGCCATATTCACAGATGCTTTTTGAGTGGATAGTTTTTATAGAATGAAAAGATCCCCTGATGCTTGGGCAAGACTGAGCTGAGACCAATGATGCTAGAAGTTAGGCATACATGAATGTATTAGAAAAATACCTTTTTTTAAAAAAAACAAAAATCCTTTAAAAATAATCTCCAATTATCAGGGCTCAGTGTAGAGAATTTTCTCTCTTCTCTTGCCTCAGATCTAAATAATCTCTTGAGGTTACTGTGCTGTAGCTTTTTAGGTACATGGAATGTTCAAAAGCAACACGAGCTCTGTTACAAGCATAGGTGTTCTGTGCTTGTGCCACCCTTAAGATTTGTGTTAGACAATAATACACATGTAAGTGGATAAACTGAAAATTCAGTTGAAGAGGATCAAAAATAATACATGACTGAATTATTTTTGGCTAAATTGTTAGGGATTATGCAGGGCTAGAAATACAAAATATATATTTGACAGTCTGAACACTGCACTTAAGACTAATGGAATCTATCAATTCTATTTAAAGAGGTGCTTTTTAAGTCCTCACAGTAATTTTAATGTAAGCTTGTCCCTGAGAACTCAGTTATAAATAGCAATAGTCAGTATTGGTATCTGATGTAATTAGAAGCTGAGTTCAAGTAGATTTGAGATGAGATTTGGGGAGAATCTTTCCACCTAAAAGGATAAATGGAAAGGTTTTTGAGGGAGACTACAGAATCTCCACCACTGAAGTTTTTCAAGAGAAGTGAAATGCCAAAACTTTCATTTCACTGCCAAACTGAACATTATAGTTTGCTCACCTCATATATGTGAACTTGCTCATTTGTTACAGCAAAAATTAATAGAACATTGTTTTGCACAAGTTTGTCAATTAATTGTCCAATTGTAGGATACTCCTGCAAACAAACAAAAGAGAGGCACATAAATCTGTTTCTCATGTGCTTTCAGTTCCTGTCTCCCATGAAAGACACATTCAAGTGATCATAATGACCACTTTGTTCTCTGTGTAGTATCAATTTTAATTAGGAATACACATATACAAAATAGAAGATAGTGCGTATAATTTCCTCATGTTGTTTTTAAGGAAACCCCTCTGTGAAAAGTACAGAGCCAGATTCCATAGTGGGGGCTTTGGCTCAGTAGCATCTGTGTTATATATACATATTTAATGCAAAGAACTACACTGCACCAGAACAACGGCGTTTGTCCTACAATGAACACCATAGTGTATATATTCAGTATTTTTGAACACTGAATCTTAAACTGGCAAGTTCTTGTACAGAAACAGTGTCCTGCAAATTCCTGAGCTGGTCCTGAATTCACACCCTTTCAGGGAACATAATTAATGCAAATATTGCCTTCCCTGCAGAAGGAAATACTATTTAGTCTAATTCCACGGGCTTTCCTGTTGCAGAAATCTTTTTTTTTTCTTTCTTTTTTCTTAGCTATAATCTATCCTAATTCCATACAAACACACTGCTCTCTCTTTATTGAAACAAGCAGTTACAAATAAAATAGATTGTATGAAATATCTGGATTCCCTAGCTTTCACACATTTCAATGCTAAAAGTGTAATTCACTAATTTTCTAAGTTGTTTGTGTTAGTCTTGAAATTTCCAGAATGTGAGAGTGTACAAAATTTGTCAGTAATTACCTGAACAGTTGACATGGAATATTCATTATTGTGGTCCAAATGGCAGTTCCCATCATTAGGAATAACAATCCCTGCCAGTTTACTGTCCATCCCAAAATGGGAATCAGCGTCACTCACAAACACCAGCAAATGTAGAGAATCATTCCTCCAGCCAATTTTTTCCTGTCATTTAAAACACATCAGTTTAGCAAGCTATATTGCATCACAACATAGAAAACCAGGAAAATATTTGGAGAGTGATGTCTCAAAAGAAATGAATAGCTTCGTTCTACTAAGTATCAAAGACAACACATCTCCTAGGAGATGATTTTCACTCCATTGTCTTTGGCTAACATTTTGTTTCCCCATCCCTGTGTTTAATAACATGGGTTGGCCATGTTCATGTCAATCTGCTCACTACTCTAAACATAGTTGATAAAAAATATTTAAACAGAAAAACAGACACAGTAATTATATTCATATTTGGGCTTCTTTGTCCCTGGCAATTAAAAGGAAACTTAGACTAAAATATTGCAATATGCATGTTTTTCTTGTACAGCCAAAAGTATTTTCACACAAATTTAATGAGGCTCTTGGTTTGTGTTAAAAAAAATAATTTGTCACTTTGAAATACCAACATATAATACAGAAGTGATAAGATATGAAATATTATACCAAGAAGTTTCAATTACCTTGCAAACAGCTGCCTGCATAATTGCATCAAATCCTCCCTCTGGAGTGTCTATATTAGCAGAAATTCGCTGTCCTTTCACAATTTCATTGAATTTTTCAGCATCACTTGTTAGTGGCAAAACATTTTTATATCCAAAGGTGGGTAAGCACTCATATGGCACACTCCTGCAAAAAAAGTGAGACAGCTTATGGATAATAGAGAGTGAAAAATCACAGAAATGGCTGCTTCAGAGGGCTGCCTGGATTAGTTTTGGTCTTTTGTCTCTTGTCTCTGCCTGAGAAGAATTAGTGAAAAACCTAAGATAATTAAAGAGCTTTCAGTGTCTTGGGCAATGGAAAAAATCTGCATAAAGGCTGGGAAATGCCTCCTGGAGCAGAGTAATTCAGCCAGTTACCAACATGCAGCCCTTGCCGTGCCTCCTGCTGTGCCTTGATCTCCTATTTGGAAGTATGTTGGGATCTGCAGCTCCTTAATGGCACTCAGAGACAACCACCAGGGTGCTGCAGTCCTGCTCCAGGCTGCAGAGCCCAGCTTCTCCCCACACAGGTTAGCTGAGGGCTAGGGCAGCCAGGGGCTGGGGAGATTGCTACACCTTAAGGGGGGAAAAAAAGCAGGAGAATAACATTGATGGCTAAATGAAACTGGTATTCTGTGGTGGGTTTGAGTTTACAACTCCTTAGTATAGCTCATAAAATTCTTTTATATATTCTAGAAAATGAAAGAAATTAAAGAAAAATACAAAACTACATGCCACACACCTTTTTGTTAACATATTAAATTCATTTGTAACTAGCAGCAAAAGCTAAAAAGCAGATTCAGTCCCAGATTCCTCTATCCTAATAACTTAAGACTCAACAGAAGGATGATCAGAAGATGAAACTAGAAGAAGCAAATCTTGTTCCACAAACCGACTCATTTACATCTGGAAGAGGGGAGAGTTTCCAGTGAATCTGGTGAAATTAATTTTAGCCTAAAGATTATGACAGTGTTGGCATGCAAACAGATGTTGGGACTTTCCCTGCCTACCTGCAAGGGTTGTTTATTTCTGCAGCCGTAGTTTTGATAAATGGCGAAACTGGTTTTTCAACAAAAGATCCAAACCCCAGTCTAAAGTTGCTTGTCAGTTTTGACATCTCTTTGGAAAGAGTTGAACCCAGTTCTTTGATTGTATTCAGATCATCATCCATGGAAGCTGAAAGATCCATGAGGTAGTAGAGATCAATTGGATAATCTTCAGTCTGGCGAACCTTGATCTGTATTGTTTCTTCATGTCCTATTCAGGTCAGGGGAAAATGAGATATATATCAGCACTTCTGTGCAGAAGACATGAGCAAAGCCAATTTCTTCATGAACTTCAATATAGTGACAATTATCTTTAATTTTAAACAACCAGTAGCACTAACAAAAATATTTCAGATTGTCAACAAAATAATCTCAAAGAAGGGTCTGAAAAATTAAAAGTATTTCTAATGTTTGGGGTTTTTGGTTTTTTTTTTTTAAACAATTCTTTAGTAATGCCTTAAGCACAGAATAAAACTATTTGCTATAATTTGATAAAAATATGAAAATATATTTTCAGCAGTATGCAGCTTTAGAAAATTTAGATATGAAGCTAATTAGAACTAGAGGTAGCACTTTGGGGCCCTATCATATCCTTTAAAAATCTAAACAAAGTCAAAGTGTACACAGAGATTTTATCCTCAGTTCCAACACTATGACCTGACCTAACTGGATGTCTCTTACTTTTTTTTATTCCAAATTTTTTCCAGGAAAAAGTCACATCTGAAGGACCCCAAGGTGGTTTTGGAATGCTACCATAAATATCACTGGTATCTTGTAAATCCTCAAAGCAAGATTTTATGTCACCTCTGAGATACTCTCCCCTGAAAACAGCAGGGGACAGGCATAGAAGCTCGGCTGGGGAGGAGCCAGGGGCTTTCATTCTCTCCCTGCCACCTCACTGGCAAGAGAAAAGAGGAATTAAAAATATATATCCTTTTTTTTTTATGATGTACCCAGCACTTCTGAAAATATTCTGAATGCAGCTGAACCTAGTTTTCATGCGATGAGTCAACAGATAATTTTGGACTCAACATAGGTTTTCATCTTTATTCTGTCAAGATATTTTTGATCTTGTTCAATCCAAGAAGTTTCAGTTCATCACACTGTCTGAAATAAACCTATGATCTGTGACCTACCTGGTCGCAGCCTCAGAGTTAATTTCTGAGGAGAAATCTGTGTGACATCAGAACTGTTCTTCTGGGATGATGCAGTTAGGGGATCATTTCTGTGAATTTCTACTTCTGAAATGGGAAACTCAATGAAATTCAGCTGGCATCCTTTGGACAAAAGATTTTCCAGGATATCACACCTCCCATGAATTCCAGATGAGTCTGTGTAATTCTAATGCAAACAGGAGAAGGAAGGGATGAGTTAAATGTTTTTACTGACTAGCCACAACACCTGCCCCACCAAAGGTCAGTCCAACTCAGGGAATGGAAACAAAGGTGCAAGTTTGTGCAAACTAGTGCAGAACTAGATATAGATGGCACAGAAACCCAAATTTGCCCTTCATGGGTCATGTCACACAGGTGTATAATTAATGTAACTTACACCGGCTTGTTATCCTGGGAGAAACTGCTCTATTGTTGGGGAATGGGAATTGTGCCACTCACTGCTTTGGCTTCTCACAGTACTGGGAATGATAACACAAAGCCCCTCTGAGCCACCTGTGGTTTTTCTACCACAGGATTGTGCCACAAATTTATCAGTCTTTCCCATACAGTTTAGAACTGCTGATTGAAGCACGTTCAATAAAAGAAGAGGTCTTGCTGATAATAAACTCCTGGACAACTTGTGACAAACAGGTTGTGGGTACCCAGTGTTTACTGGTTCTTTTTTCCTGACCCACACTTTCTCCTCAGCTCTCATTTAACCTGTTCACTGAAGCAGGCATCAAGTCCTTGTTCCTCTGTCTGGTGCCCAGCAGTGACCACAGCCTGTCCCCACTGTTCCTCAGCACCACTGGTGCTCTCAGCATCCCCACACCTACATTTGGCCCAGCATCCTCCTTGATCATCTACTAGCCAGAGGAAATCAAAAGCCTATAGATATCAATTGGATATCTCAGAGTTTATTGTCATTACTCAGTTCAGAGCATTGATATGCATTCCTTTCCACAGCACTGCTACAGGGCAGGTTCTAACCTCACATGGTGGTGAAGTTAATGGTTACTTTTACAAAGAGGATTCTGTGCCTCTTTACCATTTCCCAGAGCTATGTCTAGAGTTAAGATTCTCAAAATCAGTCAGGTGTGTCCTGGAAACTGCTCTGGCCTGCAAGCCCTTTTGAACAAAACCTGGGCAATTCCTGGCAGAATCAGCTCTGAAATATTCAGTTCCTGGCAGACGGTCATGGGCCCACACCATGCATCTGCTCTCTTCTCTTAGGGCTGGACAAGCAACCCATGGATCAGCCATTAGGCCACCAATGTTCTCTAAATTCAGTCACTGAAAAACTTTTCATGCAAAACAAAACAGGTTAACTTTAAACCTATTAAAAACAGGACTATGACCTTTATTTCCACCAAAATATCACCCTTTGTCCCTGAAAATTGTCAGGAATCTTATATATTTTGGTGGAAGTTGAGACACCTGCTGGGAACAGTGTTTTATTATTCTCCAGACTGAACCTGATGCCTTTGCTCAGGCAAAACTCTCACTCACTGCTTCTTGAATACAGAACACATAAATTACACGTACCATTATAAACCTTTTGCAGGGAGATCCATATAATCTCCTTTAGCTGCACAGTTTGTAACTTTTCAAAATGTGTGAAGAGACGACCTCAAATTTCAAATACAATTACAAAGTGTGTTCTTATCCTACAGAAAACAGTGGTTTCCTTGGGGGTGCCTTTGTTTGCTCTGACACTAAAGCTCAATGCCTTTTGCATGCTTGATCTGCTGTTTTCTAACAAAGAAATGAATGAACTTAAGAACAAAGAAGAAAAATCATGTTTACTACAATGACATTTTCAATAGTTCCACAGGTTTTTTTGTTTGGTTTTGGAGTTTTTTAAATCAATAAATAATATTGGGCTCTTTTTTCCCCTGAAAATACATGGCAGTAGTCAAAATTATGTGATCCAATTTCAACAAAATCCTGTTTTATAGTACAAACATAAAAACTACTGCACACACAAACGTGGGGTCTTTTTGACCTCCATGGTAATATATTTTTTAAATGGCAAAAGACATCCTTTTAAATTTTTTTTTAAACATGCAGTTTTTTTCTTTCTGAGCCATTTCATAAAGAGTATTTTAGTCCCATGCTGTGTCATATTGCTGTACCCAAAACCAACAAAAACTGCTAGCAGCAAAGGTGCAATCCAGAAACTAAAATGAAAAGGACGTTATTTCTCTAGTATTTCTGTCGAGTTTTTGTTGCAATAGCTGACTATCTTGTTAATGCTAATGCACTAAGAGCTAGAATATTTACTGTGAAGTGGGGAGATGGTATTTAGCACCATTTGTAGGAGAAGGTTTTAAAAGCAGAAATATGAGGTCACTTCCCCAGGGTGGCACTGAAAATTTGAAACAAAGGTATAGGAAACAAATCCAGATATATTTTTAAAGTCCAATGTTTTAGCCAAAACACATCTATATCATACAAATTATAAAGCTGACATTATTGTCATACTTAAAATCAACCACAGATTAATAATTTCTATATGGAAGTTTTACCTCTGCAAACTTTTACACTGTTGATACCTGCAAACCTTCTGTTTATGCTGTCTGGCTTGGCACGTAATCTGTAAGATACAGTCTGGCTTCTGACTTTGTGTCTGGTGCTTCAGCATCAGTGCTGGGGGTGAGCCAGCCCTCGGGCTGATGACCTGAGACCCCCTAATAATACTTCTATTTCTGCCTTAGATTTGGAAGCTTGACGTTTTTTGTTTTTTGTTTTTTTTCAAACAAGAAAACAAACAAACATCCTAACAACCATACTATGTATAACAGACCACGTAGAGTAGATTAAATTCACTTCTGCACCCCAGGAAGGCTTCACTGAGCGCTGCATGCATTACAAAACCCTGGGCTGACCCAATTAAGTCAATACTTCATCGTCACTCAGAGTGACTACAAAGACTTCAAGTCTTACTTTGAAATTGTTTTTTTTATCACTCTACCTCTTGCAAACACCAAGCGCAGTGTGGTCCGGAAAGCAAACAATCTTCACAAGTCACTGTGCTTTCCTGAGAACAGGTCCCTGAATTTAAATCCAAGAAGATAAAAGGCTGTTAATGTTATGCTGAATCATTCAATTTATGAAGAAACTTGTCATTTAGAGAATGTGGATGGTGGAAAATGCACATATTTAGCCATATTTAGGATTACTGATAAAATTTCTTCTTAACAGTAGTTCTATTGGTAAAATATTAACTCTCCAATAAAGATTAAAACCTCAGAATTGCTGGCAATTAACATACCTCGTTTTGCGTGCTTTATGGGTGGCATTCACTTAGAACACGTTAACTTGTTCCCTCCAGTGCACCTGATGGAGTGTTACATGTGTTTCTGGTATGGTGTAGGTAAGTCATTTCCCACACAGACAGGGACATTAAAAGAACAGATTTATGCTCACTCTGTATGGTTAATATTGCTTCACTCAGCTCTGTAGATTCTTGATACCATTTTTGTCCATTGTGTAACTACCAGAGAAACACTCAGCCATATGTATAATATGAAAGGTTCTTAGCAGATCAAACTGTGATTAGTGAAAACAAAATTGCTCGAATGTCTGTCTCTTTCAAACCTGTTGTGCTGTGTAATGACCACCAAATTGTAGATGAAATGGCAATGCAGCCCCTACAGCAGTCTGTCAAAAAAAGGTCATTAAATAGAAAGGAAAAATTAATTACAGAAGGCAGAAAGCTATTTCATGTCAACTTCAAGCAAGAAACAATGCAAAATGGTTTTGAAATGGATCTCCATGCCCCTGAGCCTTACCTTGCACATAGTTATTTCTTTGCAGAAATAGGAAACAGAGGCAAAGCAATTCAATCCCCATTCGTTCTCAGTGCTGGCTGCATGACAAAAAAATAATAGCTTGTTAATTATCGTCTGCATAAAGGTAGAATGTCGTAAAAACCATGCATTCCTGGAGGGTATGTTTTCAGATGTCACGTACACCGGATCGCGAGGAAACTCCAGCCCCAGCGGGACGGACCATGAACAAAAGTGAAAACAAGGGCTACCTGGGCAGGTAGAGAGGACAAGCTGTGCACACAGCAACGTGAGCATGGTTATCACTTCCTTGTTTTCCTGGACTCCTTATAAGGCATACGGGGAAAATTCATTCAGGTGAGGATTTCTGTCAGTCCCAGTTGCTCTGGGTCCTAGAGCAACGCAGCCCAGAGAGCGCGTTTGTGCTGTACGACAACCCTCATAAAGCTCCTTCAAAATAACACCTTTAATTGTGCCCCGAGGGGAGATGGATCATTAAGATTGCCAAGTGAGTATACCTGGAGAGAAGAAAAAATTCCAGTTTTTCAGATTTCTTGATGTGGAGGGAAACTCATAAAGGCAATTGTGAAGGAAAAAAACCCAACTAATAACAGATTAAAATTGAGGACTTTGCTTTAGTACTTCAGGATACCAAGTACATTGATTTTATTAACATTCCAACTGAAAGGGAAATGCTGCAGTTGTAGATTTTTTTAATATATAGAAGGGGGAATAATTTCATTTCCAGTACGGCAACTGACTTGAAAAAAGAATCGTGTCAGCCTTAACTCTGCCTAATAAGTGGCCGAATATTCTGTAGCACAGAAACAACTGCATAACAAGTTATTGCTATCTCTCCTCCACCTTCCCAGCCTGAAATTAATGCAAAATACTTATTTCTTACCACCTCATTAAAAGGAAATAAAATTCCTTATTTCTGGATTTCATGTCTTCCCATCTTTTATGCTCTACTATTATCTGTTTCAAAAATAATTTTTTTCAAGACGAGTCCTGTCTTTTCATAAGGATTTGAAATGGTCAAAGTAGGGATGGGTCTGTATTATTTAAATTCAACATGCCTGAAACATTCCTTGGCATTGAAACCAACTGGCACAGAAAGACTCAAGTTTATGATTGCAAAGTACCTTTTGGGACCATTCTAGCAACCAAATTGTGCCCAGAAATTGTTTGCAGTGAGTGTTGATTGGAAGAGGTCAAATTCATGCCAGGGAGCATTTTAACAGTCTATTAGCATAGGCAATCTCATTCTAGTGCCTGGAAATATTCCCAGGCACATCCAATTTTACTAGTATTTACACAGACTGTGGGCAGTTTCAATAGCAACTCACACTGGATTACATCAGGACTACCTTTGCTCTGCCCTTGTGTTCCCACCCCTTTGCTCTCAGTAGTCATCGCTCATGTCAAAACACGCCGTGTTTCAAACTGATCCAACCCAAACCCAGTCCCTTCTGTGGGCAAGGTGGAGGGCTGGTTTTCATCTGGTTTTCTCCCTTAAACCCTGAGGCTGCCCAGTCCAAAGTTCAAGGCAGAACTGGCAGGAAAGTTGAGAATATGTTAGGCCAAATTTAGGGCAATTTAGGCTGTTGTGGAACCGTATCTTAACATTTCTATTTACAACAACATTCCTAAATCTCCTTCAACTGCTCTCTATGCCTCAGAGTGCCCTTTGTAAGGCACTTGCTCAGCTACAGCAATTTTCTGTGGCAGGAGAAAAGCATTGATTAGATTATGTTCCTTCAGTTTGTGAAGACACAACTCTGTGAGAACACTCTATGTAATTACATAAGGTCAACAAGAAGTGGAATCAACAAAAAGTGTTTGCTCTTGCTAAGAAAAACATCCTCCTGTAATACGCCACTCAGATATCCTACTTCCCTGGGTCTGACATTTGTGCATGTGTCCTTTAAGATTGTTACTGTATCTACAGCCTTGCAGCCCCCCAAAACCCAGTGCCTTCTCTTTCAGTGAAGGTCACCTCGTAGCTCTCACAGGCTACTGGCCCCTGGTAACAGCAACACTTCCAAGGGCTCGGTGGCAGTGCTTCAGCCACCAGCAGTGTCTCAAACTAAGGACCAGCCAGCTGAGCAGCTGGCAATTAGCAAACACTTATTCTTGGATTCAAGATATCAAACTTTGAAGTGGAGAGAGAATTAGTAATACAGCCTACATAAAACTTACAAATTCTATTTGATATTATCAGTTCCCCATTTGCTTGTGAGGTAATATTTTATATAGGTCTTGGCAAGAATAGCATGGCTGGAGGCTAAGTGCCTGCCTCTGATGAGGTGGCTGCCAAAGACTATCTGAATTAAGCCTTTCCTGAAAAAAAATTGCTAAGATTCTGCAAATTATTAGGTATCTATTAGATTATTAAGAGATCTATTAGATCTCCCCGGATTGTCTGGAGAGAGCAGAGAAGGAAAAGAAAGTAGCAGAATAAACAACAATAAAAAGAAACAAGGAAAAAAAAAATGGAGAGCAGGAGCCTAAGAGAGGTCCTGAAAGAGAGACAGTGTTCACCAAGAGAAAACCTTGGGCAAGGTAAGAATACCCAGACAGGAAGCAGACAGACGATTCTTGTTTTGAAACATGACCTGTGAAAATGAAAGGTAAGTTGACCAGGAAGTTCCTCTACTAGATCAATGCTTTATTTGCTTTAATTATCACTAGAAGAGTAGAATCTCAATCTGGAGTAGCCATGCTGATGTGGGAAGGATGTGTAAAATGCTTTGGGGTCATGGCATTACTTGATTTGACAACAGGTTTCCCATTCTTCATAAAATTTTTAACACAGTCTTGCATCACCCACTCAAATTAAAGGCATTGATTCAATGAGATGCAACAAAAAGGAAGTTTATAGTACAGAAAGAACACAATTATGATTGTTTCCATCAGCCACTATATCATTTTGGAGCAAATTCTGGTCTCTATTCAATCAGAGTTACAGTTTTTAAATGACACATCAGAAGAGAAAACAGCTGTGTATCATTCAGTGTAGGCAATGCTGAACAATGCAAGTCTTCCCTTCATTCCTGGCACAAATATAGCCCTGACCTCTCAGCTTCACACAAAAGCCAGCTCTTAATTCCCAGTGATCTAGTCATACACTCACACTCTGAAAGCCTAGAAAAACATGGAACAATTTAGTCTAAATGCCCCCCAGCTGAGATGATTCCCAATATTTACAAAGGTGCAGGGAGGCACCTCCTGCTCTTCAGAAAAGATTTCTCAAGTTTGTGGGGTAGAGTCTCCTTCTCTCCACACTTTTCCTACTCCTCAATGCATCTGGGAGAGCACTCTATAGGTCAGAGGGAAGTAGCTTTGTACTTGAGTCATCTGGTGGCTTTATTCTCTGTCTGATTCGCTTTCCAATCGAATCCTCAAAGCTTCTGACAATCTCTAGCAGGGAATCAAAGTAGACTTTAAGACTTCAGTCAAACTTTTTAACCTGAAAGGTAGTAAGTGAAGACTCTACAAAAGCCTAAAGGTTAAAACACTTCTCTCCCAAAGAAGACATATGTTCCATAGGTGCATAGGCAAGTGCTTCCACAATCTTGGGCCAGCAGAAATGGAAAGCATTTTCTTTGGAAAGTCTGCACAGAATTATACGCCCCAGCAGCCTGATAGACCCAGTTCCAAAGGACAGCAATGGCAGTTGTTTCAGAGGATGCCTGTCAGCTAAAAAATTAAGGCTGAAAATAGTTTCTAAGCTTGAAGCTTTGATTCATCTTTACAGAGCTGGAGATGATGTGAGTGAGTATCCACACAGTGGTGTGAGAGCTCTGCACACAGGCCAGTCCAGCACAGACAGAAACCACACACAAGTACTGCACAGACACTGCAAGGACTGCCCTGTCTCTGTCTGCTGCAGTACAGATCTGACAATGCTTTAGGGAGAGCTGGCAAAAGCATTTCAAGAGGAAGCAACAATCCCTAACAAACAGTTGTATTAATGGGGAAATTCACAGTGAAAGTGAAAGTAACAAATCAGCAGAATCAGAAACTTTTGCTTCTTTAATTATTTTGCTGCTTTTGTTTTTTTATTTGATACATCTGCTCTCTCTTTCTTTATTAATCATCATGGTGGGACATGGGTATTGCTCCAACAGAAAATGACATCCATTCAAAAAAACTGCTGTAACCATTTAAGTCCTATATGAGTGACCTGGAGCTTGCTGAAAGCAAAGATCTGAACATACAGTGATGGAGCTGCTTCATTCCTGTTCCTGTGTTTTGGGGTGTGCTAATATCATATCCCATTAGGATATGATACTAGCATGTACTAATATACTAATAAAACACTGCCACAGAGCCCAGTGAGATGTGGTCTCTCCTACCCTCCAGTGCTGTTTGCAAGCATGGCTACACACCATGGAGTGCAGTTTTGGAAGAAGAGGGAGAGTCACAGGAGATGGAGAATCACACAGAGGAGAGGAATTTTCCCCTCCAGCTCTGAGCAAAACAAGGTGTTGGGATTTGGTGACTCAGGCTGTGATTCATGCTCTGGTCTCCTCTTGTTTCCGGAGCAGCGTGCTGCTGTTAGAGGAGGGCAGGGAATGAAGTCAACAATCTGTCTCTGAGCAAGCAGAGGGGCAGGGGAGGAGGAGGAAGGACTGCTCTCCTACAGTACAGTGAGCAGCAGGCAGCAAACTCAGGGTGTTTGCAACTTCTGTTCACCTTGCCCACAGCTCTGACCTGGCTGGTTCCAGCCAAGGGCGTGAGGAAACCTTTGTTCTCAGGTGTTTGTTTTGTTGTTTTTTTTTGCGTGGGTGAGCAAACGTGAAAGATTTGTTTGCTTTTCAGATTTGAAAACACTCTCACACTCAAAGAGAAATAATCAGACCTCTGAACTGCAGAAGGGCTCAGGTGGAACTCGTAGGAAAATGGAGTGGGACTGCCAACCAGTCCATGACACTCAAATTATGCCAGGGGCTTCCACACATCCCATCAAATCTCACCTTGGTTTGTGTTTGCTTTTCTTGGTTACGTGGCATGCCTTGCTTTCCCTACACTATAAGAACGTGGGGCAGAGAGAGCAGAGCAAGCTCAGTGCCGG